TGTTAACGTAAACCTTGTGTTTACGACGTGTTAGACATTTTTGAATTGCAGCATATAATGTAAAAATATGATCTATGGTTGAATATTTTTTTCTAAAACCAGCTTGAACTTCCGGTACCTTATCTCTCATATTCGCCCAGTTAGTAAGCCTGTTATTCAAAACAGAGGTAAAAATTTTCCCCAGAACACTCATTAATGAGATCCCCCTGTAGTTGTCAGGGTTTCTCGGATCGCCTTTTTTATGTAGAGGGACTATTTCTGAACAAGACCAACTGTTTGGAAATATTTGATTATCAAAGAGTTTGTTGAAACATTTATGAAGAAATGGCATAATATCCAATTGGGAACATTTAAGCATTTCTATCAGCACTTGATCGGGCCCGGCGGATTTTCCTTTGTTTAACTTATTTATTGATGATGTAATTTCATGTTCAGTTATCGTAGAATTTAGTAAGAATGCATCAATATCTGTAAACTGATTAGAACTGAGTTCATTTTCATCATCTAAGTGAGGAGAAAAAACATTGTGATTTGCAAAAACCTCTCTAAAATGGCACAGCCATTCTGCTTTCGTTATATGATTCTTCTGTCTGGGTTTGTTTTGTAATGATCTTATCTGTTTCCAAAAGCTAGATTGACTATTTATGCTTCTATGCAATCTTTCAACTGATTTCTTACGTGAAATGGATTTAAATTTTCTGCAACAAAATTTATAATGGTTTCTTTGTCTACAGTACACAATTCTGTTAGCGACTGTTCTTTGTGTTCTAAATCTCCTAAGTGCCCTACGTGTTTCTCGTTTCGCTTGTCTACATTCTAGACTTAGTGGTTTGTGATTGGCAAATTGTGGATTATGTCGTATTGTCTTTTTCATGCAGCTAGCAGAGTCTAATACAATGTCGACAAAGTGGCTAATTGCGTTTTCAATAGCATTATCAATTTCTTTAAGGACCATTTCTTTTTTTTCAGTAAAATTATATCTCAGGTTATCAAGAAACAAACTGGAGTAATGATCATTCCATACAATGTTCTCTGATGCTTGTGGATCCATACATGAATCATTGTTGCACCTCTTACCCATATTTGGAAATCTACACATCAATTCTAATGGAAAGTGATCAGAATCAGATCGGTCACCGACAGTGAACATATTGATAAACTGAAAAAAATCTGGTGAACTTATAAAATAATCGTTCACACTAGATCCATGTTGGCTACGCGTAGTTGAGTCACTGTGGACACGTGGGAGTTGCTATCTGTTCTATATAACTTCCGCCGCAAACCGTATTAAAATATTTAAGCTCATTGATTTTATTTTAAATATGTCTTGATTTTCCATAGGATCCTGGTAGGCTGAAGGGACACAATTCCCGAAAGTATTCAACTGCGCCTCAGAACAGATTTAATCTAATTAACGCCAATTCATGAAAGATCGCCAAATTTGTGCTTCAGGAACGTCCAAATACACAGTCCCATCGGCAGCACCCGCCTTTTAACACAATTTGCATAATAAGGAAGACAGTATTTATTCCCTTGTAGTTATAGTGATATCTCAATGCACAAGCAAGGGTTGCATCCATAGTGTCACTAAGACATGGCCATAATTACGCTGGAAGGTGCTGGAAGCAAACATTTATTCAATTAATCAGGCCGTAGACGTGTATCGAATGGAATGACATAAGATTCTTTCTCTGTCGAGTATTTAAAGCTGTATTAGAGGTTTCATTTTTGCCGAACTGATGGGGTATGCTCGTCTAATCCATCGACACCAGGTTTACAAAAATATAGAAGTAAATTGTGATCATATCAAACATAGTGAGTGAGTGAGTGAGTATGGTTTTATGCCGTTTTTAGCAATACTCCAGCAATATCACGGCGGGGGAACCAGAAATGGGCTTCACACATTGTACCCATGTCGTGAATCGAACCCAGGTCTTCGGCGTGCCGAGCGAACGCTTTAACCACCAGGCTACCAAGACCGCCCATATACCAAACATAAAAAATAACTTTATATCAACTGAGACTTAAGACATGAAGGAGAATTTCACAACACAGTATTAGCAGTTTCCTCCTTTGGTATATTGCACACAATATTACATATACGACTTACAGTGATGTGTTACAAAGGTTTACTGGATGTTTTAAGATGACAAAATATTGTAAGAATTGTATGGCAGCTTGTATTGATTGGCCTGCATTCAATAATTCATACCTGTCAACAGTTTTTGAGTCTGGTACCAACCCAGGTACAACATGATTCATGGTTCGGTGGATGCAATACGTCTAAACGCTAAAGTGTCGCTTTGGTTACGTCTCTGTGTAGAGTTGCGTTCCTTTGTCGTTCCAGTATCCGATGGTCGTTTGTTCGAATACAAGATTGTTATTCTTGGTGTGTTAGCATTATACTCCTATGGAGACCCAGGTTAGAATACGTCCTCAGGATTTTGTTATTTGTAAGAGGCGGATAGAGATGTTATGTAATGCTATGAGGTGAAGGGGCGGTCGGGTAGCCTAGAGGTTAAAGCGTTCGCTCGTCACGCCAAAGACCCGGGTTCGATTCCCGACATGGGTACAATGTGTGAAGCCCATTTATGGTGTCCCCCGCCGTGATATTGCTGGAATATTGCTAAAAGTGGTGTAAAACTATACTCACTCACTCACTATGAGGTGAAATGGGTTGTAACGTCGCGTTCAAGATTATTGCATGCTATTGCAAGATAGATGGCGACATGCATGCACGAGCCGACCTGTCCCTGCTTTAGACCTTAATGCCGACGTCCAGGAAGAGTAACAACAAGTACCATGAGACAGTAGACAGCGTCAAAACGAGACCTCTTTTTGTTTACTTACCTTTCGAGACAAAAATACTTTCAATCGCAAGACCTGGTGTATTTAAAAAAATGGTTTGGTTGAAAATGGCCGGTGCAAAATCAGCATCGGACACTACAAAAACGTTCCCGTACAAGCCAGGTCTCTAATACACGCCTGGTCAACAGCTCTAGAGAAATTATTAATTAGCCGCGGTCGTCTTATAGAGGAAATACGGTACGTTTGGTATCGGATGTTTACAGAACTTCAGTCACATGACATGATTGTTGGTTGGTTGGTTTGTTGTTTAACGCCGCACTTAGCAATATTCCAGCTATATGACGGCGGTCTGTAAATAATCGAGTCTGGACATCCAGTGATTGACAACATGAGCATCGATCCACACAATTGGGATACGATGACATGCATCAACCAAGTCAGCGAACCTGACCACCCGATCCCGTTAGTCGCCTTTTACGACAAGCATAGTCGCCTTTTACGGCAAGCATGGGTTGCTGAAGACCTATTCTACCCCGGAATCTTCACGGGTCAGATAGATAGCAAGATGGATGTAGGGGGATGGTGGGAGGGGTGTGTATGTATGTAAGTATGGGGGTCTGAATTAGTCATATAATGTCGCGTCCAAGATTATTGCACTTATATAGTACGTACACGTACACGCACGTGCGTGTGTATGTGGCTGCTTGTACTAGTCCGGACTGATACCGATTTATAGTGCTAGCTCACTGAGATACCATGCCACAGTTTAACATGAATACCCCACTCAAACACAGTATACAGACTCCAAGCCGACCAGTCCTTGTTTTAGCCCCTTAATGCCGAGCGCCAGACAGGGTAACAACAAGTACCATCTTTTAACGTCTTTTGGTATGACGCGGCCTGGGATCGAACCCCGGACCTTTAGCTCTCCAGGCGGACGCTCTACCACTAGACCACGGAGGCGGTCTAGTCATAGTGATGGATGTAGGGGTAGGGTGGGAGGGGTCAGCATAAGAAAACCAGAAGACTTGATTCAGATCCCAGAGGCTACTTTGCTAAAACGATTGATTGAATCCAGAATGACATGACCTTGTAAGAAAAGAGAAAGAGAACGACAGAGGACACGCCACAATAAGAGACAAGAAGAAAGCAGCAGCAGCAAGGTGCATCACTGCCAGGTGGTTATGGCATATTGTTGACCTTAATCAACTACTGACAATACAATGTCATGCAAACATTGGATTTATATACACTGGTTTGTATATGTTCCATCGTTGAGAATGACATCAATTATTCATCCATTTTCTTTGATGTAAAATACAACATGTTACATGTGTCAATGATTCAATGCTTCATAAAATAGAAGATGAACAATCCAGCTTCACATCCAGCCCCAAACTGTATTCAATGACATCTATATTTTGTGACTGCTGTATGACGTGAAAACTGAACTTCCAATTCCTTTGTTGTTTGTCTGTATATTGCGATAACTGATGATGCCGTAGTATGACGTTATAATCTTTGTGTTAGCTCAAAAGGTTAAAAATTGTAAGACAATAAATTCCAAGGCCATATAACAGATGACTATCATTTTTTTCTTCATCTTCAATGGAAACTGTTGAATATGTCTTCTGATACAGACCTTCCCCCTCGTAGAGTTGTGGGGGGGACATTTATGATATAAACACTTCACTAAAGGGACATTCTTGGTGTCCTGGAACAAACTATTCACTCCAAGTTTCATTTTCCTCTTCGAAAGGAAAGCAAGCATTAATCGGAGATTTTTACCATTTCGATGCGCTAGTATAAAAGAAATGGTGGTAGGCATGGATTAATGCTCGAAGTGAAACAAATATCCTGTGTCCAAGTGTCGATGAATGGTTATCAATTGTCTAAATACGTAAGAAAGCCCATACCTCTATATAACAATATGATATAATTGTAGAGACTTCAGAGAGTTATGTTTAGATATCTGTTAACAATAATATCACATGATATGTCACGTGATCTACTCGTGACTTAATCTAGTGACTTATCTCATGATGTCACGTGCATTGCGAGCACGCAAGGTAAACACGTCTGGTGCAGTTCAACTCCACTTCCTGAATAAGTAATTACTAGTTTGGTTCATTTTAAATGCTGCAAAAGGATAAATAATAGTCCTTTTCTCACAAATAAGAGAACAGGTTCTTTTTTAAATGTTAATTTTTATCTATCAATGTAAATCAGAGTAATTACGTATCTGCATCGCTTTTGAGTCCATGAACAACTTTACTTTAGCAGCAGATCATCAAATACCGTTACTATAGTTTACATTTGTCCATTAAATTTGTTGCTTGTCAACTTTGTGACTTTCTGACAAAGTATTTCGGTTTAATTCTCTCTAAATCAGTAATGGCAGTCTGTGTATTGGTAGTTTCCACTTCGGAGCCAACCAATGGCAGCCAGTTACTACACCGACTTCATAAACAGAGTAAGGACAGCAGATGTCAGGAACAGTGTTGTCATGGAAGGGGTAGATATTGTGGAGCTGATGCATGACACGGTGCAGTCGAAGTAAGTGCTACTAAGAACGGTTCCATAGCCACAGCTGAGTTTGTAATCACCGTATTTCCTGCACAGATCCAAATCTGAAACGAAAAATTCAAACTGTTTAAATTCGTCAGATCCAATATATTACCCTCGAACGGAAGAGACTAAAAGGTGAGGACCATTGTGCTTAATAAAACTTTCACTGTGCCTGTTTAACACATACAGCATGAGCTCTAAGATCATGGAGGAAACGGCTAAAACACGTGGTTGCTTCAAACGCCACGTTATTTTACTACATGCGGCCAGAGCGTTAGTACAGTTTCCTATACGTCGTAACAATAAACAAGAAAAGTAGTTTCATTTTCGTGTGCGCTTGTCCTTGTCTTCCATCATTAAGACATGAACAACTTACGAACAGTGTTGCAGGCTTCCGGGACTGGCCCTGGTGGCGTATATGTGTTACAAATGGAAGTACCTTCCTTGCAGGCAACGCATCCAGCATCCGATAAATCTGATAAAAGAAAGATGGTGATTGCTAATATTAGACAGACAGATAGATAGATAGATAGATAGATGGATGGATGGATGGATGGATGGATGGATGGATGGATGGATGGATGGACGGACGGATGGATGGATGGATGGATGGATGTAGTGTGCATACACCTTCCCCAGTGTGACTGTGGGGAACATCCTCAGATACGACCGTGTGTACGTACACATTCTCTCACATCTGATCATCAATGTGAGCACCACCTGTATCCCTCAGATAAAGACTAAAGATAAATACCAATAAAATCTATATTTTGAAACATTTTTAATTAAATGCCATTAAACTAGCATCTATAACACTCTTTAAATATCGCACGGGTAGATTTGTAGTAAATTTATTGTACCTAATAAAGTTGATATACTTAATTTAATATCATAGATACATATATGATATTTTGGAGTTCGATAGGCATTGAAAATTGTTCATTGTCATGTCAGGTAAGACCACAAGGTTCTGCTGAACTCAGTATCTCGTGTGACCGCCCCGGGCAGCAATCACGGCTCTACACCTCCTGGCACTGTCTGGATAAGTGTACGAATTCTGTCCTGCGGAATTCTGCACCATTATGCATGTAACGCGTTGGCCAGTTGTGGGAGTGTTTGCGGCGTGTTCTGACGTTGACGTGGAACGTTGTCCTGTTGAAACAGCTCCCTCTGGCGGTCAATGATTGGAAGAAAGTGAGGTTGAAGAATTTGATTCATGAAGCAATTTCCTGTCAAATTCCCCTGAACCACAACCAAGTCAGATCTCGTGGTGTACGGTATTCCACGAATAAGAAATATATAGATACTATCCTTAAGATGTACATACAGAACTCATATGGACATTAATCTTGTGCATTAAGTGTTGTTTCCAAACAAAACAATTCTGAAATATAATTGTAATATGAATATGATACATTAGTTTCTTGTAACAGTACCTACAAATTTTGTTTTTTTAATCGTAAGAACCAGCGTGGCACTTGTTGAATATGTTTTATAAAAGAATGTTATCTTTTGAAAGATATAAACAAACTGGGTCAAGACCTAAAGTGAAAGACAAGTAAAATAATATAAAAATAATTTGTGCAAATACCATATATGCATAGGGCTGGGCATGATAAGCCAATTAATTGGACCAGGACGATCCTGCACCCGTCGAGTGAGTGAGTGAGTGGGTGAGTGACACCAGAAATGGGCTTCACACATTGTACCCATGTCGGAATCGAACCTGGGTCTTCGGCGTGACGAGCGAACGCTTTAACGACTAGGCTATCCGAACGCCCCATGTCGAGAGAAGCAAGTGTCGAAGTGGTGACACAGGGACGCAAACCCACAGCAAACAATTTGCCCAATTCACTCGCCTTTAACGACCAGAATGGGGTGCTGAGGACACATTCTTATCTACCCAAGGTCCCCACGGGGGTCCTGAGTCTTGACATGCTTCACAAGAGGATTAACAGACAAATACAAAGAGCGCAATACAATTCTATCAAACCACGGCCTCCCATTATGAGTGGGAGATACAAGCGATTGAGGGAAGAGCGAGGGTGGTTGGATCTATTGCCTGACATGATTCTTCATGTGAGGGTGTCAGTACCCTGAATTTCTCGTTTCGTCAAATCAAAAACACCAAAAGAATATGAAAGGACGGGTACAGCTTAAGTATTTGTGGCTTTAACTTTCTTGTGAGCATTCAACTTCAGATTACAGCTCTGCCCGAAGTTTTTCCTTGATATGGGCATTCTGGAGTTGGTCCCTAACCCGCATACCTAAGTACATGTAGGCCTGACCGTCCACGAGATGGTCAATAACTCCGCCCCTAAGTAAAGTAACTGATCCTCCTTCTTCTACCTTCCTCACGCGTTTCGGATGAAGAATGTTACACTTGCACATTACCATTAGAAAAGGATTTTTTTTCGAATCACTATACTGGGCAAACAATTTCTGAACACTAATCTGCCTGGTCACAGACACACGGCCATTGCAAATCGCAAGGGGGGGGGGGGGGGGGAGACCCAAGCCAAAAAATCAAATCCAATGCCTTCTATTACTCAAACTGAGGCACACAACCAACCAATCAGTCAGGCAATTAAAACAACAGCTCATGGTAATTAAAAGGCTCAGATCACCAACACAATTTGTTGAGATCATTGCCACGCCACTGATTCAAATTACAAGCAGGAAAATGAGTGTACCTGTTTGACTCAGTAAAGCCACACAGGAGAGAATCAGAAGTGTCTTCATGTTGGACCGCCCAGCAACCTGTATCCAGTTCTTGATGAATGCTGGCGTGATCCGTGGCAGCTACAGTTATATACAGGTTATGCGTAACATAATGGACTTAGTACTTGGCTCTTTGATAAATGAAATGTGATATAAGGCGTATCCAAAATTGCGCAATTATTCATATCGTTGTATCAGATACTCAAGAACAACATGAGTGTGTACAACGTCAGCTGCATTGTGATATTACAGATTATACAGATTGTTTCATGTATATTGCGACATTGCGCAATGTGTATCCACCTCCATGCACTTCTTCGTCCGATAACAATACCCTCGCGACACGTGTTTCCGTGGTATTAAGAAAAGCATTACGATAAACCAGAGACCATATACCGACAGTATATGGTCTCTGGATAAACCAACCCTCTGACTTATATGGTCTCTGCTTCGACAAGCAATAAATGTGAAATAAATCGTTAGAACACTCACCTTTACACCATTTAATTACAAGGAAACATCATTTTGTCCACAAATGCCTCCGTATCTATTATATGGTCTCTGGTATCGGCTGCTGTACAATAGCGGCCATTTTTACACAACATGTAGTGACGTCATATGTTTCCGTGGTAAAGTTCATCGGGTCAAGCTACGGGTGGTTAGCACATGCCACAATGTCAAAGTTCTTTGGAATCGAAAGTAATGTTCCCAAGGCACTTCCAAACGTAACAAAATACAGCTAACACTGTACTTAATTATGAAATATGAAATAACTGTCACTTGAACACACATTTTTAGATTATTTACAGTTTATTATCATCACGAATTTAACTCTTATCAAGAAAAAAGACAAGCAACCGCTTTGGGGAATAGGTCAATATTTAATTGACAATAAATTGTTTATGTGTTAAAACAATGTAAAAATACCTCCCGAACTAAAATGTACAACATGAAACAATAATTAAAAACTAATGAGCCCTGGGAGGGTGGGAGTCTTACTTTCTCGCCTGCAGGGAGAAGACTGAGTGTCATGGGTGAGGCGCGGTGCCCTCGCGGTAGCAGAAGCACGTGCGGATCGTGACCTGAGCAGAGGATCGGCTGCGTTATGCTTACCGAGTTAAACCTAAATAAAGCTTTACTCATTATTTACCACGTTATTCTTCTTGGTGTCTGCAAGGTAGACCGTGACACGGACAGAAAAACACATCATTTCGACGAAGAAAGGAGATGTCACAACAGTATTTTAAATGCACCCAGTGTTCACAATTCCCATGCATGCACTGTCCCCACTTAGTGAACTCAACATGTGGACATCGCCTCAGTTCAACTGGCTGAAACTTTCCGCATACACAACACTTGTCGTCATCATCGTTGTTAGATTCAGAATCTGATTGGTCGTCGCTTGAGATAAGGAGCTTATCAATCCCAGATGGTCCAGGTTGTTAGGATGACACAACAGTGGGACGTGTAGCTGATTTCCTTATACTGTCCTGCTTATCCTTGCTAGTAGACATGGTAGTCGTCTTAACTGTCTTTGGCTTCGCAGTTGATTTTGATGCTTTGCTTCCTACGTTTGTTGACTGTTTGGACTGGTTGATGTAAGCCGTGACTTGACAGGAAATATCTGGTTCGGTAATTGCTTGTCCACCAACGATCTTATGGATAGAACGCCTTGGCTTCGATTTCTTAATGGTAACAACAGGTAGATGATCTTTAAAAAATCTTAAATCTGATGGCTGTTCAACGATGTCAGGACATGTAACTGAAATTTCTGATGCTTTTTCCGCCTGTTGATTGGCAAATGTAGATGGCTTCAGGAATGACTTGTCAATTGCCGTTGGGTCAAATGGATAAATACCACATTTCCTGAAAGCACTGTGCAAGTTACTGGCAGACAGAGAAATTTCGTACAGGCCAAAGAACAGACGTTATATCTGTTAAATGTCCCAGAATTTGACCGCTGCCATTTCCTACATTCTGAACTGAAAATCTTGGTGAAAGGCCCAAAGCACCCAACATCCATCGGCTGGAGTACATGGCTTGTGTGAGGTGGTAGAACAAACAGGATTATCCCTGGTCAACAGCGTAATCTATCAGATGAGGGGTGATGTGAGACCTGTGGCCGTCATATAGCAGCAGAGTTTTCTTGTCACCTCCGACTTTGGCATACTTCACAAAATGGCCTGTCAACCATCGTTGAAATATGTCTGTATTGGACCATCCCGTCTCGCTAACAGTTCCACAAGTTCCAACTGTTGAACCATCTAAGAGATAATAGCGCATGCGTGAACCAGGGAAAATGAAAAAAAGGTGGAATCTTCTGACCCAATGCATTGCCGCATCCCAAAACAGTAACTGTAGAGGATTTCTCTGGGCAGATTTGAATTGGAACTTCGTCTGCAGATCCAACGATTTGCGGTGAAGAATGTGTGAGATTAATTCCCTTCTCATCGACGTTGTAGATCAGCTCTGGGCTTGACTTTAGGTCATACTTGTCAAGAACTGCTTCAAGTTGAGAAAAATACTCCTCAGATGTGGCAGTGGCTCGTAATGGAGACAATCCCCTTGGTCGTCGCAACTTCAGTTCAGGCCATCTTCCCATCAACCCATAAAACCACTGCAGTGATAGTGATTTGGAATCATTACTACGTTTCTTGAGATTTATGGCATAGTCAGTTCCAAGACCGATAACCTGCGCCCTGGTATATCCATACCCTACTGAGGCCATAAGCGGTATGTGGTCGACAAGGCGTGCTTTTTCTTGGGAAAATAATGGGCCTGGTCCAGAGGACAAACACTCTGGGGAAGTAATGCCTTTAGTTCTGTCCCTCAAAGTCTGGTCAGGCACAGAGTACTTCCTGGCTGCTTTGTAGACAGAAGAACCTCGTTCAACTACTTCCAGATAGGCTTCTTTCAGTTGTGTTGGACTATAAGGCCGGTACTGTCGTTTGCGTCTCGCAGGATTATCCTACAAACCACGATAAACGATATAAGATATGGCCCTACTCAGCTTCCATAGTTTTAAAAATTGAGCGGGTAGTCACGTGATACACATTACTGTTTACATCAGCTAGCAGACGAACTTCTCTTGCTGAACTTACGAGTTGAATATTTTTTACGATCTCATTTTTTATAATGGTACAAAAAGTGCATTACGTGCAGAAGGTTAGTTTTAGTTAGTTTATCGTAATATAAAGCTGTACTTACGCAAATAGATGCAATTCTGAACATTTTTCGCTCGGAGCTGTCACGATCGGGTTGTCAATGTAAACAATCGCTAGGGGGCGCAAATCCGTGCGAGGTGCGCGAGAAATGACGTCATAAAAAATACCACGGATTGGTGAGTACCACGGATTGATGTGTCGGCAGGATATTTGTTATGTATGTCCATGCATCTCTTCTCCTGATAGACTAAATGCATGTATGATCACGCCTTTATTTGACAGCAATATTGCTTAATATATATGTCCACAAACGTCTTTCACATACTGGTAGCACGGAAGGCCCTGTCGTCGGAGACGCCGAAATCCGCCATGCAGAGTTGCGTCCCTTGGGCACGCCAGAGACCTATGATTTTGGGTTCGAATCACGAAATTATGTTTCTAGGTTTGTCAGCACAATACCCGTGCTTATGGGCTTCACCGTATGGTAAACATCCAAGACCTGCGTCAATTCGGGCTTTCCTCCCATATCAATCTGACATAATATAACTAGAAGATAGTTAAAAGCAACGTTAAACCCAACACAACCATTCGTTCCTTTACATACTATTTTGTAAAGGTTAACATTGTTACGCTGCGGCAGATATTTCATTGGACAGGATTGGATAATTGGATATTATGATTTACTTCAGCTTTGTGTTAACGCCTCTTTGGACGGTATTTCAGGAACACCAGCTTGATGTTGGAGCAAAGCCGGATGTGTGGACGTCGCATGTGTTTGCCACTTTCCTATAAACTCCGGGTATGATACTGACCTTTAAGGATCAACTGCGCCTCAGGCAACTGGACCAGCCATTCCGCTTGTCTACGCTTGTATAAAAAGTTGGTTGTTTTTTTATTCTCAGAACATCTAGAAATATCGCAAACATCACGAGCCTCTGCAATCGGCCCACATGGTCTATAATAGCACAGAAGCCACACTGTTCAAGGTCGTTACCATTCTACGACGTGGTGCTAATAATGGCAATGTTGGACTGTTGGTTCTGTTTGACCTCAGTGAGCCTTTTTGACACCCTTAATCATGAGAGACTTGAAATATGCTGAAGATCTGAAGTTGGCCTCTGGTGATCTGCACTGAATTGGGCGAAGTCCTATCTGACAGACCAGACATAAAGAGTAACAATAAACAGAGTTACACCCGCTCCGATTGTTGAGACCCACAAAAACCAATCCTGTAGCCGATCCTCGTCACCTTTACACAATACCTTGTAGTGACATCACCTTGAAACCAAGTCTTTTGAATAACCTACATGCTGACGACACACAACTCCACAGGTTTCAAGGCCTGATCCTTCTACAGCTGTTGAATCAGTAACGCAAATGCAAACCACTGCATGAATGTCTCGCCAAAAAAGATAATGCTTAATGACGAGAATACGGAGTTTATATTGGTCCTGTTGACAGCGGCAACACGTGTGAAGTTGATACAAACAGTATTGGAGAAGTATTAACTCCCATGTCCTCCATCTTCCCGAGGCAAGAGAGTTAACTGACTTTGAAAGTCCAGTTTCCACCCTTGCCGAACTAGGCTGGAATTACTGGGCTCGATCGTAGCGCCACCAGTGGCTATTACCAGTTATGTCCCTTCTAAGCCTCTCATATGGACCAATTAAATTCCACCTCTCGCATCACTTGCGTTGGCTTCACACAAAATGGTGGCGCCGAGTCAGGACGATCTGATCGATAATCAAGATCTCTATTGTGATTAAACGGGTCTTACATCGCGAAATGCATCAAATCACGTGAGCACCTTGATTAAAAACATGAAAAGATGTGGAAAATATCTGCTGACAACGAGTTGGCGGTGCACATGCTTTGCAAATCCTGCAATCGACCGAAATCTGCACGAAAGTTTACGCACCGGATTTCGATTTCGGTGCGCGATTTTGATTGGACTATGCACAGACTCGTTAGTCCAGCCAAAATGTAACTCCATAATACCAGCCTAGTTCGGCAAGGGTGGAAACTGGACTTTTATAGTCAGTTAACTCTCTTGCCTCGGGAAGATGATGTCCTCTGGTGAAAAGGGCCTTGGTATCATCATAGATTCTGATCTAAACCTACACAAACAGGCAAGTCACCCGTAACCGCGTAATATCATCAAAATCAAACCCTGCCTGACAAAAGACGACAACAAAATATCAGCTCTTTCCCTAATCACACCGAGGATCGATTATTGCAATAGTCTACATGCTGGTTCTCCTGAACATCTTCTCAGCAGACAACAATCCATCCAGAGCAAAGCTTCCCGGCGTTTCATTCGCCCTAAAATCAGAACACGTCACTCTGATTCTTAAAGAGCTTCATTGGATTCCTGAACAACAGCTCCTCAACTTTAAGCTTCTCGGTTTTGCCCATCAGTGCTACTTTCAAATAGCTCCATCATATGTTGATGACATTCTTCCGCCCTACATTGAATATAGATTACTCCGTTCAGAATCACGCCAAGTTCTTGTGCCTAAAGTTCATCTTTCCCTTCTCTTAAGCAGCAGTTCATCAATGAAATACACTTATTCTCGAGCTTCGCGACTCTCTCTGCAACATAGTCTGCCTGCTTTCCCGCCAATCCTTTGATTGAACTTTTCCTTTTTCTCTGTGCGTTTTAAGCATGACATCCAGAATGGAAATGCTTCAGTGTCCCATTGCGTGGATCGATGCTCGTTATATCAATCACTTGATTGTCTGGTCCAGAATCGATTATCTACAGACCGTCGTCGTACAGCTGGAATATTGCTGAGAATTGCCTTTAGCAACAAACAAACAAGCAAAATCATGTTCATACTATTTACACACATAACAATCTGTGGACAATGTGTTTAGATAAATGCACTTGTGTGTGGTTCCACGTGTGTGAGGCAAAATTAAAACATGTTATTTTGTATCAGTTTATTTGGCCCACCGGGCTAAAAATATGAAAAAGCGTTATGTGAACAGCAACATATAAAAAATACATACAAAGCATCCTATTTCACAAGTTGTCATTCATAAAATATGTCTCCCATGAAGGCACATAAATTGGTTTATTACTTATTAAAATGGACAGTATTTCACAGGTAGTCCTATCCAATAGGTTAACTGATGAATTAAGATTTTAAAATGCGCTTATGAAAAAAATTATTCGCCAAAAATATAGAATTATAATTGAACTGTTTATTATTGACAATAAATAACATAATTGAGCAAGACACGTTTGAAAACTCATAAGATCTTACATGGTGAAACAATACGAAGAAGTCACAATGAACTCCCTGAGTTCCGAGGTGTTCACACCGTCATGGATTCCTTATGATCTTCAAAAAACGTTAACTTATAATACAGTCATTTGGTCGCATGTCTGCAGTAATATACATTTGAATATTGGAATGTTGAAATACTGTAATGCATATGTAGGTGTAATAGCAAATAAGTATTTTAAAGATGAGGCCTTATATATGTTTGTAGTAATCTCATTAAAATCAGATCTTTGTTGCTCAGATCTTACCGCTAAACAAAGGTCTGAGAACATACCATTACGGGTCACGTCAGCAAACCTTGCGCGAACTTTGACCGACCAATTGAATGATTAACAAGAAGTCGACATTAGCCAATCAGAAGGCAGCTTTCTCGTGTTTTACGGCAATTGGCGACTACGATTCGAAACATATTTTGACACATTCTCTACTTAAAATTTGGAACCTGAACAAAAGAACAATCTGAAATGGCTAATATGTGGTCTAGATTGTATGGATTCAGTCGTTAAGACCGTAACTATCGTTCGGAATACCCCGTGTTAAAGTTTTCGAGGTTGCATGATTAGAAATCACTTCACTTTCATGATCTGGTAAGCGACGCACTGACTGGTCGGATGAAAGTTTGTTCTGACGTGACCCCTAAAGGGACGTCCTCAGATCTTTGTTTAGCAGTAGCGACAATAAAATCTGATTTTAATGAGATTGTGTTTGTGGCTTTGTGTTGGTGAGCAACAGGAGGGTGAAACTGGTTACGCAGGATGAAGTAGGGGAGCTTGGAGTTTCAAAAATATGTTTCCGAAATCCTGGAATAAAATATTTTTGCCTCAGAATTTACCAAAATGATAGTTTTCACTGTTTGTCCGCAAACGATTGCTTGGCTCTTTCGACTTGCCCTTCAAGGTGTTCTCGGGGCAGTCGGGTAGCCTAGTAGTTAAAGCGTTCGCTCGTCAAGCCGAAGACCCGGGTTCGATTCCCGACATGGGTACAATGTGTGAAGCCCATTTCTGGTGTCCCCCGCCGTGATATTGCTGGAATATTGCTAAAAGCGGCGTAAAACCATACTCACTCACTCAAAGTGTTCTCTCCCGGACACTGAGGTAGAACTGCACTATTTGTGTGTACGTGAGAATGGTGTACGCTGATATTGTCAGCTATCACCGTGCGAACACCAATGATAAATTTCACCAAGGATTAACTTCACGCACAGTATCCGTCCGTGCGGGAAATGGAACCAGGAACTTCTGTTTGGGGAGAAAACGACTTTACCACAAGGCAACCCCAAAACCCAATATATTTGTCCAAGTCCATAACATGTAGAGACCGTATGGGGATTTGTAATTAATTAAACTAATTTTCCACTAAGTTGTCTTTGGAAACGTAACACTGTATCACTCCCTTTCCGTAAGTAAACAGTTAAAATATTCGAGGATTCTTATCAATGTGAGATTTTCATGACACATCCCGAGATATTTGATGATGTCTTCCATCTGACAAGTCACATATTTTTAAACAAACAATAACGGTGGCATATCCAAGTGAGTTTAGCAAGATGCAATGCTTCTTTCTGGAATGAAGACATGAAACAGGTTAAGAATGGTATTAAATTTCTATATTGGTTTCATTTTCATTTTTTCTTCCTTTGTGCCTTGCTCCGCCTCATATTTTCGGTATCTCGAGTCCGGCCTTAGCGCCATGCACAGAGCAAACGTGTACAAGAGAAGAGTCAAGACCCGAGCCACGGACGGTATGCCCATCACCAGGTACCGGAACAACTCTATGTCGTATAGTGCGCATGCGCCTTTCCCTCCACATCCGGAATTCCAGTGAAGGCAGGCTTTGTCAATCAACCAACCGAACAATATCGGCCCTGGTAGGAAGCCTAAAGAGAAGAAGTGATAAAAGTGTGTAAGTGACTGAGTTGGATTAACACCGTTCTTAACATTATTGCCGCTATATCATTGCGTGTGAGCTTGATGTTGGAGTGAGTGAGTGATTTGTGTTTAACGCCGCTTTGAACAGTATTCCACTTATATCACGGCAGATCTCTGTCAGACTTTTACCACTTTGGTGAAACACACGAGCACGGGTATGGTGCCGACAAACCTGGAAACATAATCGATGCCAACGGGGTTTCGAACCCACAATCATAGGGTTCGCAACTCTGCACAGCGAGTTTTGACGTGGAAAGAAATTCCGAAATGGTACAAATCCTGGACGTTTAACACTTTGATGAAACCCGCGGGGGCGAATGATGACAAGCACAATACAAAGCAGTACAAATATGAGACTTGAGCCGACTTGCATCGAAATTTAGCAAAACTCAGTCAAATTTAGCTATTGATTTGCGGCGCCTTCGGTGCACCCAAAATAGGTTACAATTTTCATATTTTAGGCGCACGTTGTTGTTCTTCATATATTCATTCTATTTATAGTGATCTCAGTTACACACGGTTACATTTCGACACCTCAAAAGAAGTGTGACGTTTGAAGCTGGGTTCCACTGAACAAAATTTACATTCGACAAAAAGTGAAGTGCATTGATCTGGGCCCCGTTCCAGAAAGCGATCTTAGGGCTAAGTTGATTGTAACTCACTAAGTATGCGATCTTAAATTTTTGTTACGATCAGCCGCCCGTTCCACAATGCAATCTTAACTAAGAGAGTTGTAAGTTAAGATCAAAATGCTAAGTTGCTCCGGACCAACTTAAAATTGCTAAAATCGATCTTAATTATTGTACCATAACAACAAAGATGACGACTTTTATTATAGGGGGCAAGGAAATGCGTCGTCTGCTAAACATGACCAGGGGAGGCCACTCTTAGGGAAATTTTCGTATCTTCATAGCTGAAGATTCCGATCTTTGTTAAGATCATCTACTTAAGAACTTGTAAGGTTACAATCGCCCTAAGATCGCTTTGAGGAACGGTTGTAAACTTTAGCTAAGACAATTTTAAAATCGACGTAAGTCTCTAAGATTGATTGTAGTTACGATCGCTTTGTGGAACGGGGCCCTGGTGATAGCACACTACAACTAGGTCACGACTGGAAGACGGTCATCTACATGCCAACACATTCATAAGTACCAACTTTAAACCACGTTGGCCGCTGGATACCACAGTTGTGATAATCAAGGCTTCTAGAAACGACTATTACAAAGACACTTTTCGTTCACAAGACGTATAGAAGAGTTGATTGTTACGATGATTGATTCCGGGGTAGAATAGGTCTTCAGCCACCCATACTTGCCGTAAAAGGCGACTATGCTTGTCGTAAAAGGCGACAAACGGGATCGGGTGGTCAGACTCGCTGACTTGGTCGATACATGTCATCGATCCCAATTGCGTGGATCGATGCTCATGATGTCAATCACTGGATTGTCTGGTCCAGACTCGATTATTTTACAGACCGCCGGCATATTGCTGGAATAGTGCTGAGTGCGGCGTTAAACAACAAACAAACAAACAAATGTTACGATGATTGCAATGTACTCACCTAAAAGCGTGTATAAAAATCCACCCAAACCTACAGCAACCGGCTTGTCTTCCTCGCTGACACTTCTACAATCAGCAACACATATACAGGAATTAATGCGTTGTATTAGGGACCGACCCTTCAATATTCTGGCGATGGGGTACATGGGCGGATACAGCTTTTTTGAAAAGGGAGGGTGCACAATTAAGATCTATTTATTGTCTTTGGGGGTAATTTATACAGAAATAAAGATTTTTTTCGAAATAAAAAGGGGGAGTGCGCACCCCCGCACCCCACTCTGTATCCGCCCATGCGGGCATCGGTGTGATTTTTATTTGAGACAGAATTCTTTTTCAGTCGGTGCCGCGAGACATACATTTCTTTCTCTGAAAGGAACAGCCAATCAGTTGTTTGGGATTCACAACACATTTTGTATCAGTACACCCAGTTTGTCACAAGAATATATTTTGTTGCAAATCCTGAGGACAATGCACGTCTTTTTTATGTTTCTCCAGAATGTTCGGTCACAGATCAATCCCAGGTCAACAAAAAATCCCAGCCCTTCCATAACAAATATCAAATGGTCAGCCCAAATGGAATTCAGTTAATTTCAATGTTACTAAAATCACTGCATTGGTAACTACGAAAATATATAACCCGTGAATACAAGGCGGGTTAGAATGGATCTTCAGCATCCCATGCTTGTCGTAAGATGCGACTAACGGGATCGGGTGGTCAGGCTCGCTGACTGGATTGATGCATGTCTTCGTATCACAATTGCGTAGATCGATGATCATCATGTCAATCAATGGATTATCTGGTCCAGACCTGATTACAGACCGCTGTCATATGGCAGGAATATTGCTGAGTACGGCGTCCAACGGCAAACAAACAAACACAAAACGAAAATTTATGTATTTACTCATGTTACACAAAATAGTGAAAATCCCGATTGTAAGAAAGGCGGAACCGTATGTATACACACGAAACCAGCGCCCCTGCTACGAAGTCTAGGAACAATGAAAACAGCTAACTGAAATGGATCGATGTAAGAGACGAATACGTCAATCCAAAACCGGGTATGTCGAACTTTTACGGGGGTTTCAGTCACTTCGTGGAACCTACACTCGGTATTCAAATTTACATGTTTGCGTTTACCCCAGTTAAGAAAATTTACTGAACAAAAAAGGTTAGGGATCATGAAGAATTTTGGGATATTTTAGTATAATGAAGACTGAGAACACAATTTCATAAACTATACCCCCCCCCCCCCCCCCCCCAATAAAAAATTTAAAAAATTAATAAAAATCCATGATCCCAAATTTTTTGTTCAGTAAAGTTGACAACGCTAAAAGGGCTTTCCGCTTTGTTATATTCAAAAATATTCTGCAATTTCATTCATTCATTGAGACTTTTTAAATCGTTGGTATATGTTATTAAGAAGCAAGGGTCATGATTTACAAAACTTTTTTGATTAAATTATGAAGTTTTGTAAACTATTTAAAAATATATTTCATACAATACTTTGTGTCTTCAAATATGCATCCCACGCGTGTGTACGTACCTTATGACAGCAATAAGAACTGGCATCGCCGCCATTGTCATGATAAATCCCCCAACCACTGTCACTGCAGCGAAGGCGTAGAACATAGGGCATTCCGGAGTACACAGTCCAGGTGTCGCTGTTTTCATACTTCCGCCCACGCATGAGCAGTTGGAGTAGGTCTACACGGGGAAAATAGAAGAGTGACGCTATACGGTTATTAAATACTATTGCATTGTAGTGAAGGAGTTGGGTTTAACGGTTTCTCACGTACATGTAAACTCCCTATCAAAAGAAAGTATACACTTGAAAATTGGATTTGGGCTAAAAATTACAAACGTTATCAAAACGTTACTTGGATGTAACCATAATTACAAACGTTATCAAAACATTTCCTGTTTGTTTCATTTTTACCCACCATCGAACATAGGTGTATACTTACTTTTGCCCGGCAGTGTATATCATGGGGTGTAGGTTTAGTGTGGTAGGACAACCCGAAGTGACACGTGTCTGAGACGTTTGGTGAAACCCAACGTCATATCAAAAGACGTTAAGAAATTGACTTGTTGTTACCCCGCCTAGTGCTCGCCAATGATGGTATCTCAGTGGTCTAGCACTATGAAGCCAGACTACTATAACCAGCATCAAACGTGCACACACACACACACACACACACACACACACACACACACACACACGTGCATTCACGTCGTTATATTAGAGCAATAATCTTGAACGCGACGTTAAACATCATTCAACCACACCCAATATAGCATAGTCTACTGTCCGGGTCTCATTTCTGGCCTTGACTACTGTATTGGGTATTGATACTTGTTTGCAATTATTTCAATCAAACATGTTTTGATTGCCAACATCCATAGTTTAGTCCCTCAGTGTTTGTTTGTTTGTTTAACGCCGTACTCAGCCATATTCCAGCTAATCAGGCAGCCTGTAAATAAATAATCATGTCTGGATCAAACAATCCAGTGATTGACATCATGAGCATCGATCCACGCAATTGATATACGATGACATGCATCAACCAAGTCAGCAAGCCTGACCACCCGATCCCGTTAGTTGCCTCTAACGACAAGCATAGGTTGCTGAAGACCTATTCTGAGCCGGATCTTCACGGATTGATCTTACATAGGATTCCCCATGTGAAGGCGACTTGGATCGTAATACCGCTTGTGGCGAAGATAGGTTGCGTTTGAGGTCATCAATACATTTGCGAGAGCGTCAATTTGAAACAGCGCAACAATGCTACAAGCTCGTGTTTTTCAAACCCTGATACCAGGTATATTTCATCAATAGACTCCATGAACATGATGAACCTGAAGATGTTTTACATGATTGATGCTGAAGTCGCTGCAGCCGGCGTGGCAGGGGGAGAAGTAGTTGACACCGTCGGCGCCACACATAGGGAAGTAGATGGTGTTTGTGCAGCCACAGTCACTGTTACATCCACTAGAGGGGGTCATCGTAAACGAGGTTGAATTGTGTGTACCAATGTACATTGTAGTGTTCCTGAAAATAAGAAAAGGTTATTTTATTACTTGTTTTGCTGAAAATATAATTTAATTTTCAAGGTAAAATAATAAATATAATGACTTTAAAGGTTTTGTCGTGTGGGATTTCAGTGGCAAAGGTGCTACATGGAGGTTAGGGTAGGGGAATAATTTATGATTTGTTGAGATTTTCACATTTAGCTATAGTCAGACATACAATAAAACCTGGTGAACTTGAACTCCGTTATCTCATTATATAGCTTAAGAAGATATACCCTTTTAATCGATGGTCCTGGCAGAACCTCAGCAGCACCTACCATCATTTCCACGCCGAAATTTGAATAACCGGATATTATAAATGTTTGCGGACTTTGGTTGGGTTGGTTGGGTTGGTTGGTTTGTTGCTTTACCCCGCACGCAGCAATATTCCAGCTATATGACGGCGGTCTGTAATATAATCGAGTCTGGGCCAGACAATCCAGTGATTGACATTATGAGCATCGATCCAGGGATCGATGACATGTATCTGCCAAGTCAGCGAGCCTGACCACCCAATCCCGTTAATCGCCTTTTACGACAAGCATAGTCGCCTTTTACGGCAAGTATGTTAATATTCTAACCCGGAATCTTCACGGGTCTTTTCTGACTTTGAGTTGACGAGGTTTCAATAATATTTAGATCTCTAAGCAGTATGTAAACTGCCGGGCAAAAGAAAGTATTTGATGGTGGCTGAAATGAATCAGACAAGAAACTCAGGGTTATTCGCTGGTGATGTATTTGATACGGGTATCAGAGTCGTGTTAGGGGCCTTAACTCTGCAGTGTTTCGGCGACTGTTTTCAGCTTTGTAACGTCTTGAAAACGTTTGTATTTTTTTAATACATGCAACTTTTAAGTGATTACTTTCTTTTGCCTAGTAACGTTTTGATAACGTTTGTAATTTTTTGGTCACATCCAATTTTCAAGACTTACTTTTTTTGCCTAGTTCCGTTTTGATAACGTTTGTAATTCCTTGGTCACATCCAATTTTCAAGTAAATACTTTCTTTTGCCTTGTAACGTTTTGCCTTAAAACTTCTGAAAACATATTATTGTATGCCTAACTTATATAAGCTACACACTTTGATCACAATAGGAAAATAGAAACATTTGGAACATTTGAGATCCATCTTCCCGAGGCAAGAGAGTTATCTGACTATAAAAGTCCAGTTTCCATCCTTGCCGAACTAGGCTGGCATTATGGAGTTAGCTATAGATTTTGGCTGGACTAACGAGTCTATGCATAGTCCAATCAAAATTGCGCACCGAAATCGTAATCCGGTTCGTAAACTGTCATGCAGATTTCGGTCGATTGCAGGATTTGCATAGCATGAGCACACTCAACTCGTTGTCAACAGATATTTTCCAAATCTTTTCAAGTTTTTAATCAAGGTGCTCACGTGATTTGATGCACTTCGCGATGTAAGACCCGTTTTCTCACAATATAGATCTTGATTATTAATCAGATCGTCTTGACATGTTTGAAGCAAATGCAAGTGATACGAGGGGTTGAATCTGATTGGTCCATAGGAGAGGCATAGAAGGGACTTAACTCGTAGCAGCCACTGGTGGCGCTACGATCGAGTCCAGGAATTCCAGCCTAGTTCGGCAAGGGTGGAAACTGGACTTATAAAGTCAGTTAAATCCCTTGCCTTGGGAAGATGTTGAGATCCGATTGAATGAAGAGCAGCGAGCGGGAGCGCGCATCTGTTTATTCTATTGGAACCTCCGTTCGAGGTTTATTCGTTTGATCAAAGTGTTTGCTTTGAGGAGTGGAATCTGAATCGTAATTAGCGAAGCGGAATTAGCCGAGTGGGTCCGAGTGACTTCAAGGCTAAGGTCGATGTTCATAGGCGGATCCAGAGGGGTGTGGAGTGGGGTGTTGGGGGTGTGGAATGGGGTGTTGGGGGTGTGGAGTAGGGTGTTGGGGGTGTGGATTTGGTTGTTGGGGGTGTGGAGTGGGATGTGAAGTGGGGTGTTGGGGGTGTGGGAGCCCACTTTGAAACATACCCTCGTGCTGGTGATTCCTCAGATTTAGTCTTATTTTGTCATCATAAAATGAAATACATGAAATTGATCAAGGAAACTGATATCACATTCATATTTGGAAAGACTTGCTACCTTTCTTCCCATATGCTGTATACATGTATACCAGTATGCTGATTTAGTCCATTTCAATATCATATATTAATAAGGAGGCGGGTGGCCAAGTCATCTTAGGCGCCGCAATTCGGTGTGCACCCTTTCGGCGTCGTGTCAGAAACACATTATAGTGCGTTCGAATCTCAGATTCAACCTGATTATATTTCTTGGTTTGTCAGCACCATACCCATACCCCTGGGACCCACCAAGGTGTTAAACTGCTAAGAACTCAATCTTTTAGGGTTTTCCTCCCACATCAAAGGAAATACTGTAGCGGCGTTAAACCAAACTCACTCAGTCACTCATATATTTAAAAACGCGGTTACCAATTATTTTGGACGTTCCATTCGTTGCCTTATTGAGACACAAAATGGCGACTGACATAAAATTATTTGTGTAACCTATTTTATAAAAGAAAGACCGGCCTTTTGATGAAAAATGTTTTGATTCAAAGCGTCCTTGGTGATTTAGAAGCCGATAGTAATAAGATGTGAGATTTGGACATTTTACCTAGCGTCGCGGCCCGTGAAGATTCCGGGGAAAAATAGGTCTTCAGCAACCCATACTTGCCGTAAAAGGTTACTATGCTTGTCGTAAAAGGCGACTAACGGGATCGGGTGGTCAGGCCCGCTGACTTGGTTGATGCATGTCATCGATCCCAATTGTGTGGATCGATGCTCATGATATTAATCACTGGATTGTCTGGTCCAGACACGATTATTTACAGACCGCCGTCATATAGCTGGAATGTTGCTGAGTGCGGTGTTAAACAGCAAACCAACCAACCTAGCGTCGCGTACCGGTAGTGGAATCTGTACATATGATACAAGAATCAACTTACCGAGGGGTCATCTCTCCTTTGCTAATGACGGGATTCTCGCAACCTAGGAAGTTCAGCGATGTTTGTATAACAAGGGAGAAGAAGATAATTCCCACTGTCACCTTCAGACAAGTCAAGGGAGATAACTTCATCTTTGATGTCACAATCCCGCCAATGATTGTTCCCGCACAGTTCGTAACTATGCTTAAACCACCTGTAAATAAAAAAGATGAACATGTATAAAACTAGAACAGTGCCGTTGCTCAATAGCAAAACGTAGAAAGCAAACAGCAGGTTGTGACGTTTAACACTTTGGTGAACGCCACCAGCTAGGACATGATGATGGCAGACCAGGATGCCGCATCTTCCTGAGGCAAGAGTGTTAACTGAATATACAAGTCCAGTTTCCACTGTTAAAGTCAGTTAACTCTCTTGCCTCGGGAAGATGAGGATGCCGTTGTTCGAAGCGGCCTTAGCGCTGAGGTGGTAGTAGCTCCCATACCTTAACATAGACTTACGACTGTCGACTGATTTTTACAACAGCACCCAGAGATCGCAATAGGCGCAACTTTATTAATCAAACATGTTTCTTTTCAGATTTCATATGCTCGTGACAACGCTACGATATCGTTTGTAAAATATCAAACAATTTACCAATGATCATGTTTGACTTCCAGGCTGGCAACGTGAACTGTGTCTCCATGTATTTGGGGATGAAGGCCATCATCCCGCCGATGCTGAAGAGGGTGACACAGTTGCCCATGACGATGGGGAAGTAGATAGGGTTGCTAACGAGTCGAACCAGAGCGCTCAGGAAGCCTACAATGTTGCGAGTGAGTGCATGAGAGAGACAGTATACAACTTTAGAAAATCGTCATAAAACGTCTCGAAACAGAGAGTTCTATGGTGTGAGCGCAAGTTCAAATGACGAAACATCAAATAGCTGGTTCTTTGTACGTTGTATCCAATATAAAAGATGGTAACTACTAGCTCACTAGTCACTGTTCAAAGATACAGTGGCCTTGGAAAAGTCTGATTGTATGATCATGAAGAGATCAAGAGAAGAACTTCTTATATCTAAACTGACATAACCGGTCTTCACCAGCATCTCTCTATTCCAGAATTACAACGGGTAATCGTTGGGCTTCAACTCTGACCGGTCTAGTTTGCAACTAAACCGGACCCTCTGTATTTCGATACAGTCTTTAATGTTTTTAATCATCTCATACCTGTCCAATCCATCACCACCCTAATCAGGCATAATTTGAAGGTACGACATGATGCACGTTTTTTATTGTTTTGCGTTTAATCATATTGTAAAAATTTGCTGTTTTATAAAAATGTACACGAGAAGATACAAAATGAAACCATAAAACATGTCTATATCAACCACCAAATAGACAACTGATGCCTGTCTCTCATTCAGTCATATTAGTTATCCGACCAAATGCTAATTTTATGGCTGTTGCTTGTAGTTTTTAGCATTGGAGTAAATGTGATCTGGGCAACACCAAGTAACATACGTTCTCTCCAGTGAATATCACGTATTTTATATCATTGTAACTTTCCACTGTTGTTCGGGATTAACAGGTTAAAAGATAATGTTAGAGAGAGAGAGAATGAATACTTTTTTTTCTTTTTTTTCTTTTTTTATTCTCATCATTTCAAATACAAAGTATACATGGAACATATTACATTAAGATCAGCATGGTATATATTCAAATCGCCTTGTTGTAGATTCAGTAGTTTGTTTCTCTGGTACATCTGGTAGATCTATATATAAGGTTTCTATACAGAATAACAGACAAATTGTAGTATTAAATCATATCTTGGTATTCTTGAATAATGTGTGGAATGAAGACCAAAAAGAGAAAAATTTAGCTTGTTTACAATTTGAGAAAGCAATAGATCGTGTAGCTTCATAATATTTAATTATTTCCCACTTTACTTGTTTAAAATGTGGAATTGATTTCTTTCTCATTTGTTTATAAATTACAAATTTTGCAATTAAAAATATAATATTTAATGGGTTAGTGTTTTTCCTTTAAATCCAAATAAAAGATTTTGGTCACTACAATCAATACTTCCTTCCACTGTTGTCCCAAACCAATCTTTCAAATCCTCCCAAATATGAATTGTATATTGACATTCACAAAACATATGAATAATGGTTTCTGGGCAAGTTTTACAAAGAGTACATGTGGGGGTATCTTCATAACCAATCTTAAATAAATAACTATTTGTTGCAAGAATATAGTGTAGTATCTTAAGGTGAAACCAAATTAGGCTTACACTTTGTGTACATCTGTAAACCATCAAATTATATATTTCCCACTCTTCATTACTAAAATCTTTTTGTAAAACATTTTCCCACTTAAGCATACCATGGGTTTTTACGAAATTTGGTTGTAGAAGAGTGTTATAAAAGTCTTTACTTCCGCCTTTACAATTAATTATAAGTGATACATTGAAGGGTAATATTGGTCGTAAATATATTCCCGTATAATTATCTAAATTGTTGGTTTTACAATATTGGTGGACAGCACTTAATAAACCTTGATATGTAAGAAAATCAGTTTCAATTTTGTATGCTTCCACAAATTCTTCATAGGTATATATTTCCCCGCTATCCTTCAATAAATCACAAATAAACATTAAACCTCTACAGAACCAATTTCCATAAAATACCGGTTTTCCCCCAATCATAATATTGTTATTATACCATAGAGATTGGCTTATAAATTCAATTTTAGTCTTTATTTTATTCATTCCCAGGTATCGCGACCATGCCTCCAAAACCTCTTTCCAAAATAAATTTACAACATTTGGGATGATGTAAGTATTAATGTACATAGCATCTGCCATCCATAGTAATCTGTTTCTATTCGGTATACAATAAGAAACTAGAGTTGACCACTTGGACTGACTATACAGTAATCTCTTCACCCATAATATTTTTTGTGCTGCTATAACATCTTTTATAATGGGTACTTTAATTCCTCCATATTTTTTAGGTAATGAAATATTGCTTCTCTTGATTTTGTCTGGTTTACCCTTCCATACAAATCTAAAACATTTTTTTTGAAAATTTTCAATAGTTTCGACTGAAGGATTTGGTATTGCAGTGAATAAATGGTTTAGTTTTGACAATAAAAGGGATTTTAAGACTACATTTCTGCCTATTGGTGTCAAACTTCTTGCTGACCATTGATTCATTTCCTTTTTAAGTTTTTCAAGTTTTTCCTCATAATTAATCTCCACTAATTTTTCAAGGTCCACATCAAAATTTATTCCTAACAATTTAAATTTTGTACTTGTCCAATCTAACTTCCATTCTTTACATAGTTTATACCGTGATCTCTTTTTGGATCCAATCCATATTATTTTGGTCTTATCTGTATTTACCTTTAATCCTGAAAATCTAGCAAAAAACTGTAATGTATTCATTACTGCATAGAGGCCATTTTCTGTACCATCTAAACTTAGAGTAGTGTCATCAGCAAATTGAGCTAAGATATGTTCTACATTTCCCATTTGAATTCCCTTAATCTTTTTGTTGCTCCTAATCATAATTGCCAGTATTTCAGCACACATAATAAATAAATATGGTGATAATGGATCGCCCTGATGACAACCTCTAGTTAGTTTAATGAAAGAACTTGCAAAACCATCTACTAGAACACTTGATTCCATACCATTAAAAAATGTTTTTACCCACTGTTGTATATTTGGTCCAAATTTAAAAAAATCTAAAACATCTAAAATAAATTTTCTATCCACTGAATCGAAAGCTTTTTCAAAGTCTATGAGTAATAATAGACCAGGTATTTGGTATGTATCAGTATAATCCATTAAATCATATATAAGCCTCGAGAGAATGAATACGTTTTTAAATTATCTCTTACTTGAGGAAGAGAATTTATGGATGCTAACTTTTTTATTATGACATCCATAAATTCTCTTCCTTATGTGTATCACTTCTAAATGCCTTTCAAAGACTTATCTCTTACTTGGTTGGGAGATTATAATTTATGAGGGGTAACTAAAGACTAATACATACATGAAACTAATATATTACTAATACATCGTCCACTCCCTGGTAATTGTATTCGTAATAAAATTTACCACCGGTAGCGCACCATGAAGGCAGGGTTAACATTGAAAGGAAAGCAACAGTGAGTCTTCACTTATCTGTTAGTTTTATCCATGTCGGGGCCATGTCAGCGGGAATTATTTATAAACACCTTGTATAATGACAATGAAATAAAATTATTGCATTTCATAATTTACAAGCGAAAACAGCAAACAAACGCTACCTGTGACTTTAATGGGTGTCTTGCCTTGAGTTCCCGCCCTGTCTTCAGCTGACCTCATCCGTCGGGGGAAACACATGATGGGGAAGGAGAAGATGATTGACAGCATCCCGAACACCAGGAATCCCAGCCACCATGCCCCGAGCCACCGAGGATGCGTCGGAGTTATGTTCGTTGCTGGGAGAGAAATATTTCTATCGATACACTTGAAAAAATTAGCGACTTCCTCGTTTCCACAGAGATTAAGCATGGTTAATTCTGGCTTAATGAACATCAGGCTCCGTATGATTGGTTCTGCCAATAGCCTCAGCATATTTGTTAAAACGTGTGTCATTTTCAAAGTTCAGGAACAAGGATTATAAGAATTAATGTGAGTTCGGTATGTAATAATGAGTCGTGAGTGAGTGAGTGAGTGAGTGAGAGTGAGTGAGGTGGATTTTACGCCGCTTTTAACAGTATTCCCGTTATATCACAGCGTGTCAGCTTAATGTGGGAAGAAAGCCCGAAGTGATGCAGGCCTCGTTTAGCACTTTGGTGAAACCCATGATCACGAGCCCAAGGGACGCAACTCTGCACAGCGAATTCAGGCGTCTTAGACGACTGGGCCACCCGTGCCCCCAATGATAGTATGACAGAAATGTATGACAGTATGACTACAGAAATATACTTTTGGCCAAGATCCGACATTGACTTCATTGATTCGAGTCATAACAGATAGCAAAGGAATTCCTGTTCAACTATACTGAACCAAAAAAAAAGATAATTTTCGGGATATATTTTTGTCGTGAAGACTGAGGTTTTTTTTTTAAAGAGTACGGCATATAAAAATATGTCATGATCCTTAACTTTTAGTTCCGTGCATGTTCAGCAATGTTAGATTGTATGTGAGCAAGTGAGCCGTTTGAACAGTATTTCAGTCATATCAGAGTGTGGGCTTGATGAAGGAGGAAAACTAGAAGTGACGCAGACGTGTGCTGATAAACCTTGAAACATAATCAGGGCGAATTTGGGATTCCAACATACGATCACACGGTTGCTTGCACGCAAAAATTGCGACGACAGGGACTACCGTGTCCAGTTTGTTTGTGAAATATATGATAACACAAATTTCGACTTTTCACCAACAACAATATTTAAGACGCCAACAAAAACTGAGCTTAGACCTCATAATCGTTAAAGAGAGGATTATGTGACTAGTCTCTAATGGATGGGCACACGACTCCCCGTTAAAGAGAGGATTATGTGACTAGCCTCTAAACGGATGGGCACACGGCTCCCCGTTAAAGAGAGGATTATGTGACTAGCGTCTAAATGGATGGGCACACGACTCCTCGTTAAAGAGAGGATTATGTGACTAGCCTCTAATAGATGGGCACACGACTCCCCGTTAAAGAGAGGATTATGTAACTAGCCTCTAAACGGATGGGCACACGGCTCACCGTTAAAGAGAGGATTATGTGACTAGCCTCTAATAGATGGGCACACGACTCCCCGTTAAAGAGAGGATTATGTGATTAGCCTCTAAACGGATGGGCACACAGCTCCCCGTTAAAGAGAGGATTATGTGACTAGCCTCTAAATGGATGGACACACGACTCCCCGTTAAAGAGAGAATTATGTGACTAGCCTCTAAACGGATGGGCACACGGCTCCCCGTTAAAGAGAGGATTATGTGACTAGCGTCTAAATGGATGGGCACACGACTCCTCGTTAAAGAGAGGATTATGTGACTAGCCTCTAATGGATGGGCACACGACTCCTCGTTAAAGAGAGGATTATGTGACGAGCCTCTTTACGGATGGACACACGACTCCCCGTTAAAGAGAGGATTATGTGACTAGCCTCTAAATGGATGGGCACACGACTCCCCGTTAAAGAGAGGATTATGTGACTAGCGTCTAAATGGATGGGCACACGACTCCTCGTTAAAGAGAGGATTATGTGACTAGCCTCTTTACGGATGGACACACGACTCCCCGTTAAAGAGAGGATTATGTGACTAGCCTCTAAATGGATGGGCACACGACTCCTCGTTAAAGAGAGGATTATGTGACTAGCCTCTTTACGGATGGACACACGACTCCCCGTTAAAGAGAGGATTATGTGACTAGCCTCTTTATTGATGGACATGCAACTCACCTTGTAATGTGATGAACATCTTGCTGAACACTCCTCCGACACCGAAGGCTATGGCCATGGCACAGATTGAAGTCCCCATGATGAAACCTGTCACACAATGTCAGAACATATATTGCCTGTGTCAGTCTCATACAATATCTGACATAGAAAATTAATTGATGTTCGAATATCTTCAGGTGTCAAGCAATCACTAAAGCATAACCCTTATGGTAACATCATGTCGTGACAATAAACGTTCTTGATACGGTGCAGGGTGCAGTTCTTCAGGATGCAGTTCTCCGGGACGCAGTCATTCAGGGTGCAGTCCTTCAAGGTGCAATAGTTCAGGATGCAGTACTTCAGGGTGCAGTCCTTCAGGCCACAGTCCGCCAAGGTGCAGTCTTAATGTGCAGTCTTTCGGGTGCTGTCCTTCAGGGTGCAGTCATTCAGGCCACAGTCCGCCAAGGTGCAGTCCTTCAAGATGCAGTATTAATGTGCAGTCCTTGAGGGTGCAGTCCTTCAAGATGCAGTAGTTCAGGATGCACTCCTTCAAGATGCGGTCCTTCAGGATGCAGTCCTTCAAGATTGAGTCCTTCTGGGTGCAGTCCTCCAAGGTGCAGTCCTTAAGGATGCAGTCCTTTAGGATGCAGTCCTTCAAGATGCAGTCCTTCACGGTGCAGTCCTTCAAGATGCAGGCCTTCGGGATGCAGTCCTTCAAGATACAGTACTTCAGGATGCAGTCCTTCGGGGTGCAGCCCTTTAGGATCCATTCCTTCAGGGTGCAGTCCTTCAAGATGCAGTCCTTCAAGACGCAGACCTTCAGGATCCAGTCCTTCAATATACAGTCCTTCAAGATGCAGTCCTTCAGGATCCATTCCTTCAGGGTGCAGTCCTTCAAGATGCAGTCCTTCATGGTGCAGTCCTTCAAGATACAGTCCTTCACGATGCAGTCCTTCAGGATCCAGTCCTTCGGGGTGCAGTCCTTCAAGATGCAGTCATTCAGGGTGCAGTCCTTCAAGATGCAGTCCTTCAGGATGCAGTCCTTCAGGATCAAGTTCTTCAGGATGCAGTCCTTCAAGATACAGTCCATCAAGATGCAGTCCTTCAGGACCCAGTACTTCAGGATGCAGTCCTTCAAGATGCAGTCCTTCAAGATGCAGCCCTTCAGGATGCAGTCCTTCAAGATGCAGCCCTTCCGGATCCGGCCTTCAGGGTGCAGTCCTTCAAGATGCAGAACTTCAGGATGTAGTCCTTTAAGATGCAGTCTTTCAAGATGCAGTCCTTCAGGAAAGTTGCTCAGAGTGCACCCATTCAGGGTGCAATACTTCAGGACAATGTTCTTTAGTTCAACAGGGTGAAGTCTTCAGGGATGCAGTCAAAAGACTACTCGAGTGCAACCACCTGATGACATTAATGGTCGTTAAACATTCAGGATATATATACATGGAGAAACACAATTTCATAAATACAATATCTAGGGTCAAATCATCTTACCCATGTACATGGCTGTTTTGGTTTTCGGAACATTATCATCAACGTACGTCGTGAGCCCTGGAGCCCTAGGGGCTTTACCGACACCTTGGATAAGCATCCCCAGGGCGAAGAGAGCAATGGAGATCTTCTTCATCGTCTCGTCCTGTACATACGAAAACTTGGTATCGCTGCACTCGGCTTTCCCCGTTGAATTTGCCGGAGACGTCGGGGCAACGGTGACCTCCAGATGACACAGTGGTCCAGTTTGAAAGACAGACGTGATGTTTGAGTCACTTGCAGGATTTATTAAATCGCGTGTTAATATAAATGGTATAACGCATATCAAACCCGCAATGCCGTAGAACAAAGTTGTCAGGGACAACAATCGGGGGATGTGCAGTCTCCGAATGAAATAACTCATAACGACAGTGACCAACACGAATCCTATCTCATTGCAACTTATAAGAAAACCACTGACGGAGCTGCTGAAGCCAAAATGACGCTCAAGGGCTGTGATTTGGGAGGATATATAGACTTGCAAGGCAGTCGTGAGCAGTCCTGAAAAACTGTAAACTGCCGTAAAAGCAGCCATTGAGCCGCAACATTGAATACAATTTGGTGTGCAAACTCCAATCCCACATTTTGTGTCATCTGCGGTTGTCTCCCTTCCGTCCTTCTGCTTCCGCCAGCCTCGTTTCAGAGAACTATCAGGGAGCATGAGCATGGAACCTTTGGCGTCTGTTTCCTCTAGTTCCATGTTGGTAGTAAACACGTATCAATATTGCACCTGGAAAACACAAATACAGTATTATGCTTGTGCATTTAACATCATGATAGCAATGGCAAAACAAATTGGGTAACCGACTTAAGGAACCTGCTGAATAATTGAGGTTTTGGTTACATTTTTAAATTAGAACATATTGCTTATCCGAAGTTGTTCATAAATGCTATAACACAAAGATTAAAAGATTGATATTTTCAGTCATGGAATGGAACTCTAACGCGTTCACCAAAGTCCCTGTTATAGCAGTTTCAAGTCATATATCATTGCAGAGCAATACCTTTTCAGTGTTAGTCTTAACATATTTAGGGTAGCACTTGCAAGATTCCGATGTTCATCACACGATCTTTTAATTGAAAAGGGTAGATATCAAAATATTCCGAGAGAAAATAGACTCTGTCCACTATGTGACCTAGGATTAATTGAGGACGAGTATCACTTTTTACTAGTATGTCCGCATTATGATGAACTAAGAAAAGTATATTTACAAATATATTTTCATATAAATCATTGTACATTTAAGTTTAAACTATTACTAACCACTAGCAACATTGAAACCATAAGAAATCTTTCGATGTGCATATATCATGCTTTTATACAAAGAAAATCAAGTTTGGAAATTATATGATTGTACCAATTGCTCCTGTAATCATGATTGTACTTTCGGCCTGTGGCCTCCTCAGTACGTTGAATAAAGAAATTGAATTTAACATCATACATGTCTTTCATTTGTTTCCTTATTTAATTTAAGAGCCGCACTCAGTAATATGTGATCTCGGCCTGTCATAATCGAGTCTGGGCTAGGTTTTACATTCGTATCGCCCACACTATATCATAGACTTAAGGTAGTCGTAGCGCTGAGATCGCTTTGTGCATGCAGATAAAGATGTAATTGACTGAGCAACGTGCCAGGCCGTCAGGATACGATGAGTGAGGGAGTATACGCCGCTTGTAACAATATTCCAGCAATATCACGGCGGGGGACATTGTACCCATGTGGGGAATCGAACCCGAGCATTCGGTGTTATACCACTGGGCTACTCCATCGTCCCAAAGATAGGATGACTAGTAAATAACAAAGTCAGCGAGCCTGATAACCAATAAGCCGCCTCTTACGACAAGCATAACTTCCCGGAGACCGATTGTAACCAGGGCCCACTTACACAAAGCCATCTTAGCGTTAAAACTATCGTAAAGCTTTGTTAAAGTATGGGAGTTACGATCATCTTAGCGCTAAGATCGTTTTGTGCAAGTTGGCCCAGGACTCCCCACAGGGGTATTTCTTTCAGAGCTTGGGCGTGGAGGTAGCCTAGATTGTAAAGCGATGGATCGCCACGCCCAAGACACGGGTTCGGTCTTCAATATGACAGGAGGACAATGTGTGAAGTCTATTGTTGGATCGGGCCGGTGATCGTATTTGTTTGTTTAATGCCGCGAGCTACATTCCAGCCATACTACGGATGTCTGTAAATAATCGAGTCTCGAACAGACAATCCAGTGATTGATATCATGAGCATCGATCGGCGCAATGGGGATACGATATCATGCATCAACCAAGTCAGCGAGCCTGACCATCCGATCAGATCTGTCGGCTCTTACAACAAGCATGGGTTCCTGATGGCCAATTCCAATTCGGATCTTCGTGGGTCCCGTGATATTGATTAAATGCTACTGAAAGCGGGGGTACAAAACTTACTCATTCACTCGGTATTTTAAGGTTACATTCACATGTATGCATTTGTGTGACGTCACTTGACAGTTGATAATGCAATAAATCGCTTAATGTCTGAATTTGTTGATTTTAAAGCCGATTTGTAGACCATTAAAGTAATATCACAGCGTGTAGTGAGTGAGTGATTGTTTTGTATTCAACGTCGTGTCAACTTACTGGGGGGGGGGGGGGGGGGGGCGATGCAGGGGAAAGTGAAACCCAACGGCACGGGTATGGTTCTGACAAACCTTGAAACATTATCGGGGCGAACCGGGATTATAGGTTTCTGGTATGCCCAAGGGACGCGACTCTGCTCAGATAAAAGCGGGGCCTGAGACGAGAGACCACCCTAGTCTATCTCACAGTCCCTGAACCATATTATTTTCCCTCCGCCCAGCCCTTTCTGTAATGCAGTGTCCTAAATGAAGCAAGTTCAGATTTTTCTCTTCTAAATCTCCCCTCTCAATGGGGCTCCTTTTCAAGTTCAGATTCGTGGAGATCCAGGGTAGAATAGGTCTTCAGCAACCCATGCTTGCTGTAAAAGGCAACTATGCTTGTCGTAAGAGGCGACTAACGGGATCGGATGGTCAGGCTCGCTGACTTCGATGATGCATGTCATCGTATCCCAATTGCGTGGATCGATGCTCATGATATCAATCACTGGATTGTTTGGTCCGGACTTGATTATGTACAGACCGCCGACATATAGCTTGAAAAATGCTGAGTGCGGCGTTAAACAAAAAATAAACCAATAAACCTTTTCAATTTCAATTGAGTAATTTGTTTTTATCAAACTTATAAGTCTAGAAACACCCGTATCCCAAACAGCGTATGAGTCTTGAATGAGAGAAACGCCCAAATTGACGCAGGTCGTAGGCGTTTACCATTTTGGTGAATGCCACAACACAGATAGGATGCAGATCGTAATCGGAACGAATTGAGGAAACTTCCTCAGTTTTACACGCACCCCCGGAACAATTCAGCTGAAACGTGACAGAACAATAACAGTATTAGACTTTGTGCAACTTTCCTCAAGTACATCAAATCGAAAAGGCGACTTCTGCTTGTTAAAATAAGTTTATGGTTCTCTTGCCCGGCCCGCCCCTAACATCCAATTTCGTTTTTGCACCGACTCAGACTTTCTTAACATATCACGCCATTTATAGCGTGTCCGTTTCGCAATGGAGCCGTCATATTTTGAGTCACAAGAGGTGTAGCCAAAATATGTCACGAGGAACATCAAGATCATGTTTATTGTAATAGATTCGTAACCTACTAAATTTATAAAATTTAAGAAATATATCCACTGTCAGTTTGGAAAACAGACACGAGAAACGACAATCCTTTGTTATCTGGCCTTACATTGACTGTTATCTGTTTCCTATTTCAGTGCATTGTACGTGTTCAACGACATTGATAACAGCCACTTCACATACTAATATACAACCTGTTATTCTCACGCTAACATTTAGTCAGGTGAGTGTAAGTGAGTTGGGCTTAACGCTGCTTTAACAGTATTCCAGTTACATCACGGGGAGTAAATGCTATGTTTGAAGAAAGCCCGAAGTGATGCAGATCTCAAACGTGTGTGAGTGAGTTGGGTTTAACGCCGCTTTTAACAGTATTCACGTTATATCGCGGCGTGTCAGCTTAATGTGGGAGGAAAGTCCGAAGTGATGCAGGTCTCAGACGTTTACCACTTGGGTGAAACCCACGAGCACGTGTATGGTGCTGACAAACCTAGAAACATAATACGGGCGAACAAAGATTCGAACCCACAATCACAGGTTTCTGGTGGGCCCAAGGGACGCAACTCTGCACAGCGAATCGCGGCGCCTTTGACGACTGGGCCACCCGTACGTGCCGACTTCTGCCAGGTGGTTGAGCGACGAAGCTATGCAACAGCCAGTCTGCACGCCCTCCGCGTGCACTGCTCACCATCCGTTGTTGTCACTGATGTAAGTAATAGGGAGCACGGGAGGCCCTGTCGCCTAATTCGCTGTATCCTCAAGGCGTGTCAGAAACCTACAAACGTGGGTTCAAATCCCCCGTTTACATGCTCTTGGGTTTCACAAAGGTGGTAAATAATCTGCTTCACTTCGGGTCCCGTGAAAATCCTGAGTAGCAACCCATGCTTGTCGTAAGAGGCGCTTAACGGGATCGAGTGGTCAGGCTCGCTGCCTTGGTTGATGCATGTCATCGTATCCCAATTGCGTGGATCGGTGCTCATAATGTCAATCACTGGATTGTCTAGTCCAGACTCGATTATTTACAGACCGCCGTCATATAGCTGGAATATTGCTGAGTGCGACGTTAAACAAACGAACGAAACACGTCTTCGATACAACGCGAGTATGTTTGTTTAGCGCGTTGTAAATTTTGGCAATGAACGGACATATGCACATTGTAAATCGTAGCGATGAATTGGCATAGCCAATATAATTATCATCAAGCACTGACATGCATACCTCTTATATATAACACACCATAAAGCAAGCTGTAAATCTTAGCCATGAAACAGTCATGTGAAATATACAAGCTAGTATTGACATACACACGGGCAATAAGCAAATCGCGGATGTCAGTATGCGCATAATATTCAAGCCCGGAAATGTACACAATTGTTAATACGGAATGACAGTAAGTGAAATCTGATAACATACAATACTCCATACAGAAGTTAGTTCACACCAACTGACCCACCCAGCTGTTCGTGTAAACCCGTGAGCCTTATATTCCGACCGACTGTAGTTTCCGAATTCCATGTAAGCAGTATACCCCGTAATGTCAAACAATCGTCCGTAGCAGCGAGGTTCAACTGTATGCAACAAGCCATCTCGGTGTTATGAAATCGCATCGCACCTGTCTATCGTTGTGTTTATGGTTAATGTGATCGGTACGGTATGTGTGTCACAGTCAGTTGTGCACTGACACACACTATAATGCCAGGCTGGATATATAATTATGTCGATTACTCTCGCAGTCATGAAATGTATGTCAGCGAACATCAGCGACTGCAATAGACACACAGAGTGTCCGATCACAGAGCCACACCTGTCAAAATATCAACATCGCAACCACTTACCCGTAACGTCAGAAAAGCAGCTCTCTCGCAGGAACGGTCCTAGTCATGAGAATGATTAGTACGTTTACTTAATTATGTATGAGGTTCCCTTGAGATCGAGTGTGGTGATATTTGACATCCATTTGTGGTCATACGGGGCTAGTATTTCCTGTTCACGTTAACCCACAACAGGGATCGTGTATGGGTGGGTGTCCTTGTTGCGTTTTGGCGCTCTCTCCTTCCGCGGCACACAAACATTTCACGTAACCTCATGTAACCGGGTTTAAGCCCATGGCTATGTAACAGTCTTGGTTGGATGAAACGCAGGTATTTTTCTTAAAGAGCCTTCTACATTTTACGTTGCAATTTTAACAACGATAAAAATATTACAATATCCGCTGAACATGTTTGTTTTTCTCAAATGGATTATTCAAAGCTATGTCAAAAAATTTTCGATTGTTTTGTGTCATAAGCCAAAACAAGTTTCATTGGTTAATTTAAAAAGTGTTGATTATCCAGATATTGTTTATATTACCAAAATACCATGACCTAAATTAATATGAACCATACATATGTATAACACTAAATTTCAAACGCGATATACCTGTAACCATTGATCCGAAAGTGTTTCTGTTTGTTTCGAACGTGCGCTCAAACACACCTGAGGCGTCTCACAGCCCGTCATCCTTCACCTATCACCTTGAAATCCCGTTTTGGTGGTACAGTTTTCAAACCGGTTTGAGATCCTACAATACGATAATTTTTACGCCCGGCGTAGATTCACCCAAACCGGTTTCATGTAACCAGTTGTTACCTATCTGTTGAGCTGTGTCATCGCATGAGAAGTAAGCCCGTTAACCTACCACTTGTAGTCAGTGTTTTGTTGAAGCTCAGCCACCGTATAATGAGTACCATAGACAACATTCGACAACTGTAAACACTATTGACCCACCAGTGATCGCATTATTCACGTAAAGCGAACAGTGCCTTCCAACTCCGAAAAGGATCACAGTGTTGAATGACGCACGAACGCGCTGGTCTGTGAATGTCACAGATCACAGTTACTCACGGTAATTCACACTTATCGTCTCGCAATCTGGGCATGGTTTTCGATAACACATGGTAGGAATTACGACTATAAGACTTCTTAAACAGTAAACACTGTTATGTCAATAAGTACTGCGTTGTGAATGGAATCTGTGTCGTGTTTTTGTTTAGATAGTATCAATTACCTGCAGACGTATCACCTTTCATTGACTTGTCTTATTTACATACGCTTAAGGATCAGTTACAGGCTCAGGAACATTGCAGGTCTAATCCTCCCACACAGGGCTTTTAATGATATTATTGCGACCACAGAATAGCAATACAGAGACTCTTAAAAAACATAAAATGTTGTAAACGCCATGTAGGTTAAGAACAAACTGGATTACAATTTTGGGCAAATTGCCGGGCAAACGAAAGTATACACTTCAAAATTGGATTTGACTAAACAATTGCAAACGTGTTAATACGTTACTAGGATGAAAACAGTGGCCGAAACACTGCTAACCTAGGGTCCAGAACATCAACATCAAATAACTATTTCCCGTTTGTTTCATTTTTATCCACCATCAAACATGAGTGTATGCTTTCTCTTGCTCATTGTTAAGAAGGCTGCCATGCCGGCCTACAAGCGAATAGTAGAAGTTACAATGTGTTGTGGCCATTATGCCGGCCTACAAACGAATAGTCGGAGTTACATATATGGTGTGGCCATTATGCATGCCTACAAACGAATAGTAGAAGTTACAAATATGGTGTGGCCATTATGCCTGCCTACAAACGAATAGTAGAAGTTGCAAATATGTTGTGGCCATTATGCATGCCTACAAGCGAATAGTAGTAGTTACAATGTGTTGTGGCCATTATGCCTGCCTACAGACGAATAGTAGAAGTTACAGTGTTTTTTAAATATCGTCTTTACAAGCATAAACAACTGTTGTAAATACGGCATATTTACAAGCATGAAAACTTGTTGTAAATATGGAATATTTACTAGCATTAACAGTAGGCAAGGTGAATACCTCCCGAAAGGTCAGACCAATACGACCAATATGATGCTAATCTGCTTAGGCAATTGCGTGAGACTATCAAGGCTAACCGTCGTGATAAACATGATGATGACGTCATTTCTGCTGTGGAGACGTTTTACACCACCAGGAGCAAGCCCTGTACACTAGTGGGATCCAAGTATGTGGACCTCGGAGCGGATTATGTTGAAAAATAACCAACTCCTTCAACGCAGTCCATTACAGTTAGACTCAGGCCATGTCAGCCACCCCTTGTAGTCACACTTCACCCACAGTTAAGAACTTTAACGCAGTTTCATTGACTTCAGGCATACAGTCAAATTCCGTTACCTCTATCTCGTTTAACTCGAATAATTGTTAAATACATAATAAATATGTCTTTCGGCACATTCTTAAGCATGGATACATATTTCTAATGTGTTGTGGCCTTACAATTCAACCACACGAGGAAACAGAAAGCATGCAGAACTCAATTCCGTTTTCATTTGTTATTAATATTATTGCATGACTGATTACATGTTTGCAAACAATGTATTGAGATATGAGGAATGACAACAGATAGATATGACGAATAACGAATATTATGTCTCTTTGTGTCATTTCTCAGTTTGGCAGAACGCAGGACAATATAACGAGGAAGAGAATTTATGAATGTCAACTTCTTTATTATGAGGAACACAACGTTTTGGAGTATATACTTAGGAGTAAGTATACAATCCGAAACGTTGTGTTCCTCATAATAAAGAAGTTGACATCCAAAAATTCTCTTCCTGATGGGGGCGGTCGGGTAGCCTAGTGGTTAACGCGTTCGCTCGTCACGCCGACGACCCGGGTTCGATTCCCGACATGGGTACGATGTGTGAAGCCCATTTCTGGTGTCCCCCGCCGTGATATTGCTGGAATATTGCTAAAAGCGGCGTAAAACCATACTCACTCACTCTTCCTCGTGTGTATCACTTTTAAATGTCTTTAAAAGACTGGAAGCAATATAACGCCCGCTTAAACAATTCTCTCTTATTATTTCCTTAAGGAAATTATTCATAATGTTTATATTAACAATGTGGTTTTGACAGTGGGTTTCTCTTTCCCTCTCTGGCAAAGACACCAACAGAAATGCCCTAATCGTTTCTAAGTAAAGCATATTACCGACTATACTGTTACCTCATCGTCATGCAGATCCGAGACGTGAACGTGAACCAGACTAAATGTAATAGCAGTATGATGTATTGCCTCATAGAAACATGTTATATATAAATCAACGTAAATGTGAGTAAATGTAGTCTTACAGTTATGTAAAGGTATGTAAACTATGAAATAAATGTATGTAAAATTGTGTAAATTTAGATTTACATTTACCCAAAGGTATGTAAATTTACACATAAATGTACGAAAATGTATTTAAATGTAGACTTTAATGTATGTATAGGCATGTAAATCTAGACTAAAATTTATATAAATGTAGGTAACGGATAAATGTTGCCATGGTAATTGATATCCTCGCTGTTGATCTATGTGCGTGTACAGGTGCTAGTCCCCACCCCATGTTCCTCTTTAATATAGTGTTTATCTTCAAGCTTCAGCGATCACTTTGACTTCTCGCCTCACGCATGTGCATGCACGGTAAACTACCGTTATTGCATTAAAGGCCTAGTGCTCGACAACGGTCTCCGAGTTTGGCATATGCTTCACTTGGCCTTAGGTATTAGGCTGTGCCTACAGAACTTGTTTTGTTAATAAAATATTAATAGTTACAAATTCGTTATGCCTTTATTGTTATTTGTAGATAACAAATATGTAGAACGTCACAAAACTGTGGAAAGTGAGTGCTGATCAAGCAGTAGATTATCCCATCCGATTTATGTATTAGTCTCTCTTCTACACAGCAATATGAATATGAGACTGACATATTTTCTCTCCTAAAAAAATATTAATAATTATTTATTTCCCTTATTGAAAGTCAGTTTTTACTCATTATCTTTTCTAATCTCTGTATATCACATGTTAGTCAGAATGATCACTTTCCCTGTTTAGTGACCTACTAGTACATAGCGTTTGTACTGGCTATTATGGGAATACATTAGCTTTATGTTGTTACTGGTAGATTACTGAGAAAAATGGAATTGTTACCACGTGGATTCCCAAAAACTCAAAGGATTAACTTCATTTTTTTCCAATCTCAGCAAAAAATCAAGAATTTGATTTGTCCATGCTGTACATTACTATCCCACAAACGTAAGGACACTTCGCGGTGAACACATATATATCTAACATAGAACATCTGAGAATGAAAATCGAGTGTACACTGACCCATTAACTTGCATTTAGGCAAGAAGTTGGTATGCCCGTGGACACAGTTATTATCCACAGTATCGTATGATAAGAAGGATAGCTCCAGCTGTTTCAGGTACAATGTTCATTATACAAGATTTCAAAGAGCTTTATACTACTCTTGCTCCTTTGAATAGAAAAACAACATTAAAGCTCTTAGTAATTTAAAAAAAATAGTTTTATGGTAAGCATGTGGAGGACGCATACGTGACCAAATTATGTCCAATGCATTTCCATATGTCTGCGTGCATGTTCAGGTGAACACTTGACTTGCTTTTGCATGTGTTTGTGACGTGTGCCACCGGTGGGGCAGAATAAGCTCACATTTTTGCTCTTGTTGATAGTGATTTATAATCATAATGCTTATGATATAGTCGGAATTAGTAGAGATATATTTTGATTATGATTGGGTGGTTTCGCTTATATTTACTCACAGCCTGTGGTTGTGAGAGAGAGGTATTAACTTTCCCATATATTGGCTTGTCTTCCTCTTTATATAGAATACACTAGCTCTACTTTCGCTTTTAATTGAAATATGTTATCCTGTCTTTCCCTTTATATTGAACTACTTTTATTTTAGCCGAGCTTTCGCTGTTTATTGACATAATATTATTTTGACTTGTCTTTCTCTTGATATTGGAATACATTAGCATTCCTTTCCCTGTTTAGGGATATATAGTAGCTTGTTTTTCCCTTTATATGGGAATACATTTAATTTAACATTACTTTCCCTTTGTATGGGAATACATGTAATTTAACATTACTTCCCCTTTGTATGGGAATACATTTAATTTAACATTACTTTCCCTTTGTATGGGAATATATTTAATTTAACATCACTTTCCCTTTGTATGGGAATACATTTAATTCAACATTACTTTCCCTTTGTATGGGAATACATTTAATTTAACATCACTTTCCCTTTGTATGGGAATACATTTAATTCAACATTACTTTCCATTTGTATGGGAATACATTACTTATACACTTTCGCTGTATTGGGACATGTAGCAGCTTGTCTTTCCCCATATGGGATTACATTCGTATTTACTTTCTCCCTATGAGGGCAATACCTTAGCATTTACTTTCCCATTTTCGTCGAGACACCAGTACTACAGAGAGGCGTAATGGGATAATTTTCGTTGACTTATTTGAAAATGATGTTTTATTCACAACCAGTGCTTTAAGTAGTATGCGACCTTTAATGTTGGGGGAGCAGATAAGGGGGTGCTTTTGTTGAAGGGATCCCTCCTCACGACAGATAGACCAACTGTACTATATGATTAGATCTACACAGGAGGCCTTTGTAAGTAACAATAAACACATAAGCACTAGCTAGAGATAATTGATATGTCTGTCGAAAATAGTTGTAGCAAATCACGGAATCTTGAAGACTGTATCGCGGAGTGGTTTGGAGGTTTCACACAGTTCCTTAGTAAAGGGCGTTGGGAATGGTGTGAGTTATAACGTTACTACTTTTTTCTGAGTGTACGGACTGACAGAGGACTCCCACTTACACAACGATCCTGGTTCTTCGCTCATAATGGATTTGAAGAATATCTTGATCATATTTGGGTTGTGTCTCTGTTTCCACGTTTCTCAGGGAAAAGTACAATTTGAAGATCTTTTCCAATTCGGCGTCACCTCTTTTGAAGATGTCGTTGATATGAAAGCTGAACGTTTCGAAAAGCTTGAGAAAAACGTCTCTCTGCATCGTTGCAAGTACGCATGCGTAGACAACACTTCATGCCATGGGGCTGTCTTCAGTGAGATCAACTCTGACGGGTGTTTCCCGACAAACTGCACCCACTTCTACTCCCGGGGATTGCACGGGGAATGTCATCTCCTCACATTTAAAGACGATGCTGACGTAATTGACTTTGCTGAGGAACTTACAGGGAAAAGGCGTTATTATTTCTTGAACCTTCGTAAGTACAAACGCTACCTGATGTTCGTCAGATGTATTAATTTGATTGTATTAAATGTACAATACATTTCTGTTACGGGTTGATTGCTAAGTTGAAACACATACATTTGGAGGTTAACCCAGAATTCGGTACATACAGAAATAAATTGCGAAATAAGTAAATAATCACACAAGATAATAAAAAGTTAGATCTGATAATTATATTGCAAAACAATGGATTAGGTTTACAATCGAAAAGGACAATACAATGGGTCAAATATGTGACAGCAAATATGAGACCCTATAAATAAGTGAAGTCACGAATGACCAGAATTAAGGAACAATGAAAGCAGGCCGAAAAGTCAGTGTTTTCAGATAAATACCCCGTCCCCACTGACCAAGTCGCATGTCAGATCGTTGAAGGCCTCGAGTCTCGTCTCCTGTTATATACGTACAGCCAGCCTTCTAGAAACTGTTACCTCGCAAAACCGCTCGAATAGTGTAGCCTATCCTAGTGTCGATACAAAAGGCGGATAATAAATGGAGTCTAGGAACAACGACCCTTGACATTTTACGAAGGCTTCAATCTGCTGCCTCAAACAGAAATATACTTAATCCATCTACTGTCACATAACAATTGTCAAAATCAGAAATCAGAACATAACGGCGTCCAAAGAACCTTTTGAAATTACCTTCTTCTCTGATAGGTTCATGATAACCCCTACCATTTAACTCTAAACACCGGTTCTTCATATTTCAGCTATAATTCATGCAGAAAATAGCCTTCTGGCTGATCATTAATGAGTTCATGACAACTCCGATATTCTGTTAAACTTCAGCCACTATGTGTCGTCCGATACCTATACCCCAGACGAAGATGGAGCGGGGATTCACAGCCCCCGAAGTGTACAACGTCGCCCGTGACAAGGAGAACAACGCCTGCTACATTTTCAAATACCGCTGTCGCCACAACTCCACTGCTGTCGGTGGCAACGTTGAGGCCAGGTGCTGTGACAACGGCACCCGAACTCCCGTCACTCTCCAGTGCCAAGGTAACGTACACGTGTGCGGAGTTGATCACTGGCTTTCTATGACATCTTTTTTTATGGATAAACCGTTATTTGTTTAGTTTTATTATTTTTTATATTATTGAACCCAATATATGGTTCAATTATGGCATGTCTAATATCTCATTGCAGTTGTTTCATTGTCACAAGTAATAACTCACTTAATTCATATCTTTATGTATTATGTTTAGATGATATCAATAACGTTTGTAGCCAAATGTTTACAACTCAAACATCTTGGCGTTTCAGAAAACAAGCAAGCATGACAACTCCGTTCAACAGGCAACGAAAACGTAGAATCTTCGATCTGGATCTAGAATGTATTTAGGCTTTGAGTTCGTTTGATTTACAAATGTGGGGAAACAAATTTAAACTTATAAGAATATTTTTTTCAGTTATTAAAGAAAGTATCCTTTGGTCCTATTTCGTATTTCTTTTTAATTTAATCATTGATCACCCACCGCGGAATGATTTCATCTATTACTTTATGATCTGTGGGTTTATATCTTAATATAAAAAAAATATATAAAATATTTCCTTAATCATAATAAATACCTACTGAAAGCAGAGTCTTTTGTATGTTCCGACTAAATGTCCGGGGCCAAGAAAGCAAACACCTGTTTTTGATGGTGGCTACAAGATACAATACATGGTTGTTTATTCGATGAGGTTTGTATTTGATACGGGTATCACAATTGTGTAGACCTTACGTTTACAGTATTTCGGTGACTGTTTTCAGTCTAGTTTTGATCACGTTTGTAATTTTTAAGTCCACGTGTATCCATTGGTTTGCCCGGCAGTTTATATCATAAGCACGACACTGTGTTTCTGAATTACTAGCAAATGGTTGACACTCTGCAAAGTCAAGCCAACTGATCACTTGAAGAGACACGGAAACAAATGGTAGCAGTCTAAATAGGAATGTCATCAGACATCATTTTTGTCACTGGGAACTCATTTTTTTTAATGTTCCCCCATCAAAGTATTTTAAAGCGGCCTGAGGTCTTGAATGTTGTATCCTTATCAAACAACTTTTGAACAAGGGTCGTATGACGCTCTTTGCAATATTCGTAGAAAAAGGATGCTCGACTGTACCTCAAAATGGGGACACCAAAGGCTTGAGTTGCAGGAATATAAAGGGAAGGTTGGAATTGGAAAACTGGAGAAATCCCCTGAAGCCATGAAGCAAAGTCAGTCAGAGTGCAATTTGTGGAATGAGGCCCAGTGTCCTGGTCTTGAGTACAAGCAACAAGTTTCGTTTAAAATACAAACAGCTTGAAAGTTGAGATAAAAACCATGCAGAAACTGATATCTGACAACCAATTTTATTCAGCAATATTAGGTTTGACACGTGAAAACAGTTAACATTATTCAATGAACAAAACAGCAGTAACGTTAACAGACAATACACGGATAAATATTCAGAAAGATATCGTATTAATAATCTAAAGTCTTAATTAATATATTCCCTGTTCATATACACCAAACATGTCCATGGCTCCCAATTCCCGTCCCGTCTTGAACGACATGAAGGTTTCTACCCTCCAAATCACCCCCTGTTAGGTGGTGACGTCAACAAGCTCTGGCAACAAACTATGGTTTAAAAGTATGACTTTGTTTATTTATGAAAGTGAATATTTTGAACAGGTTCGTCCTCATGCCTGCTCAAAGATCTCGTTACCATAACGGTATATAAAAATTCCACTAAGACCTTTGGAAATACTTGGTCACGTTTAAATAGTTAATCAGAGGTTTCAAACAAAACCATTCAGTTAAAACGTATGAACATCTGCGCTACTTTTTGTTTTCTGGAGGCTCGATGTCTTTACAGCTGAAACAACAATCTGATAATGTATGTTTCATTTTCTTTATTGCAATCAAATCTATATGTCAATAGCTCAATACTTCAACCCATCTCCCAACTTGCTGAACATATTACCAGTTCAGTCTAACGACAATGTTTTATGGAAATGTCTTTTAAGAGTAGAGGGTGACAGAGGCGCTATTTACATTTTACATTCGTTTACAAGACCAAATTTACATATCTATCCAGAAAACAAATGCGTTGCTAAAACTGAGGAGTTGTCTCCCGTAGTTTGCCGGGACGCGCTGGTTGCGGATTCTCAGCCCCATTGCACTGCACCTGTCCGACGTAAATGCACAGTTAGCACATGCTGCTAGATAGATAGATAGATACATAGATACATAGATACATAGATACATAGATAGATAGATAGATAGATAGATAACACTGACACACAGAAGACGACTGAACAGTCTTCTTAAAGCGAACTTTACCCAAACCTGAAACACTGTAGCGATAAAATCGCAGATACAATTTGTTTGATAATTCAAAATATGCCAAAACGCTTATAATTCAGAATTACCGTATAAAGAGTATATATTTTTCAGTTTCCCACACCTAACATGGCCAGAAGTGTGGCTATCTGTGTCCACATGTAGGAAGTGATAGGTTCGCCGCTACTCTGAGCGTTTGTCTGCGTTGTGGCGGCGCACTCTGTGACGACCAGCTGCACAGTTGCTTTCCAGGGCGAGATGAGTTGAGGAGATCCGTTGTCACGGCAACCCACCTCAACAGGTGTTGTCACCCCCATAGACACATTGGATAGGATTGTCACTGTACCAGCTGCGTCGACCTGAAGCAGTAAGTGGGTGGGTGGGTGAGTGGGTGGGTGGGTGGGTGAGTGAGTGGGTGGGTGAGATGATGGGCTGGTGAGTGGGGAATGGGTAGTGGGACACGGTTGTCAGCAGTCCATTTTATTACGTCGTGAAAGAGGTCACGTGATCGCGTGTCTTCATACTCAGTCGGCGAAGGACGATGCTCATAATATCCACCACTGGTTTGTGGGACTCCTTTTATTGACAGGCCTCCGTGATAAGGATCGGCTTTTGATGAGTGCGACGTACAACAACAAACAAAACATTAGATTGCACGTCAGAACTGTTTGCTATTTCACCCGAGGGGCGGTCGGGTAGCCTAGTGGTTAAAGCGTTCGCTCGTCACGCCGAAGACCCGGGTTCGATTCCCGACATGGGTACAATGTTCGAAGCCCATTTCTGGTGTCCCCCGCCGTGATATTGCTGGAATATTGCTAAAAGCGGCGTAAAACCTTACTCACTCATTATTTCACCGACCACACTTTAACAATATAAGAAAAAAGGGTTTCACAGTTAATTCTATTTTGTCGAATACCGTTTTGATGATTTTGACATATCCGCAAAGAAGTCAATAATAAAAACGCCTTGCTGTAATTTGCAATTTGAGGATAAAACCTAGGCTGATGGTGTGAGCAGCGGACTATACCGGCGCGTTTTCAGGTGGGTGAGTTTTGTTTTACGCCGCTTTAAGCAATATTCCAGCAATATCACGGCGGGGACACCAGAAATGGGCTTCAAATATTGTACCCATGTGGAGAATCGAACCCGAGTCTTCGGCGTGACGAGGGGACACTTTAACCAGCCTCTAATTATGTTTTTTTATTTGTTTCGTTTTGTTTGTTGTTCAACGCCGCACACACCAATACTCCAGCTATATGACGGCGGTCTGTAAATTATTGAGTCTGGACAAGACAATCCAAAGATTGACATTATGAGGATCGATCTACGCAACTGGGATACGATGACATGCATCAACGAGCCTGAACACCTGAACCCAGATCTTCACGGAGGCGTCTCTTTCACCTGATTTGTGTTGGTGTGACAAGCATGGATTATTGACCATGGGTATCTTCATGCCGTCTTGTTTGGAAGGATAATGTCATGAACTCATGGTCGCCTCTTAAACACTTAGTGGCCTCTTTTTGGTGGCTAAAACAATCTACGCTGCCCAATTCAGTCCACTGGAGGATAGACCCGTGAAGATCTTGGGTAGAATAGGTCTTCAGCAACCCATGCATGTCGTAGTAGTCGACTAACGGGATCGGGTTGTCAGGCTCGCTGACTTGGTTGGTGCATGTCATCGATCCCAATTGCGTGGAGCGATGCTATGATGTCAGTCACTGGATTGTCTGATCGAGACTCGATTATTTACAGACCGTCTTCATATGGCTCTAATATTGCGTTAAACAACAAACAAACAAACAAAACTCAAGAAGAACATGAGTGTGTACAAGATCAGCTGCATTGTGTTTTTTCGGTGAGTGTCAGATGGAAGACATTGTTTAATGCATGTTGCGACATAGTGCAACGACCGCGATCACGTGTGTTGATTGTTTATCCAGGTCACCGACTTAGTTGTGCGTAGTTGAGTCACTGTGGACACGTGGGAGTTGCTATCTGAGCCCGGCGTTAAACAACAAACATACTTATATATATATACACAAAAGGATAATGCAAATATTTTCATTTCAAAAAGTAAACAGTCGACACTGACATGAGGGTACTCACTGTTATGCTGCCCATGCTGACGACGTCGTAGATGATGACGTTATTTGGACTACTTATGTCCTTGTCTGTGGCTGTTAGGGACCCCAGAACCTTCCCCGGGGGGTCACATTCAGATACAGTATAACTGTAGACCGTTTGGTCGAATATCGGACGGTTGTCGTTGATATCCGTGACGGTAATAGTAACAAATATCTCCTCAGAAAGACCACCTTTTGTATCAGAGACTTTTAGCGTCAAACTTGCCACAGGCCCAAGCGTTTCAACGTCATACGTGACGACAGAAATTAAGTCCCCACCAGGAGTGAATGACCACATGTTCACATCAGCAGCGGCAGTTATCACCCTGCCAAAGGTGAAGTCATCTTGATCCACTATTGACAGCCCCGGACTGAGATAGATCTGAAGTGAATTGAAACAAAATAGTCATACATTTACTCCAAGTCATATATCCTTAGAAAATGCATTTGATATAATACAAGTAATTTTGTTTGTTTGTTGTTTAAACGCCGCACTCAGCGAAATTACAGCTATTGGGATACGATGACATGCATCAACCTGACCACCCGATCCCGTTAGTCGCCTCTCACGACAAGCATAGTCGCCTTTTACGGCAAGCATGGGTAGCTGAAGACCTATTCTACCCCGGATCTTCGCGGGTCGAAAATAGTTAGTGAGCGAGTAAGTGAATGAGTGAGTGAGTATGGTTTTACACCGCTTTTAGCAATAGTCCAGCAATATCACGGCGGGGGACACCAGAAATAGGCTTCACACATAGTACCCATGTCATGACTCGAACCCGGGTCTTCGGCGCGACGAGCGAACGCTTTAACCACTAGGCTACCAGACCACCCCTCTTGAAAATAGGAACACATGGGATATAATAATGGCGTCCATAAATAATGAATTCAAGTTCATGATTGATTACTTTTAAGGTATCCTTTTCGCTTCAATGCCAATTCAAATTTCATGATGAATATACAAGTCTATACTGTAACGGGACGGTGGGGTAGCCAAGTGGTAAAGCGTTCGCTCGTCACGTCGAAAACCCGGGTTTGATTCCCTAGATATGTGAAACCAATTTCTGGTTTTCCCCGACGTGATTCTGATGGAATGTTGCTTAATACGGCGTAAAACCATACTCATTCACTTACTGAGATACTTTCATACGAATACCTAATTCTAAAGACTTTCACACGGCAGTACTTACACTGCCTAGATTGGCAATGGACACCAAATTTTAGAGCGTTGTGTCTCTCTACTATCCCCCGCCACGAAGTGGGGCGGGGTATATAGGAATGGAGTTCGTCCGTCCGGTTCTTAAGGGGACATACCTTCTCAAAAACTATTGTCAGAGAAATGAAATTATACACGCTGATGTTACTCGTCCCGATCTCAAATAAAAATTGGTGTCGTAAATTCCTTTTTTACAGAGTTATTGCCCTTGCCCTGTGTTTTTCAACTTAGTGCATACTGCGTGAAATGGGGACAAGCTTTCTCAGAAACTACTGAAGTTACATGAATCAAAGTTTGCATGCTTATCTAGACTTGTCAAGACTGAGTTCGGAAATTGGTCCCGTCATTTATTTTTAAAGAGATATGGCCCTTGCTCCGTGTTTTTCAACTTAGTACAAACTGTGTGAAATGGGGACAAGTTTTCTCAGAAACTACTGAACGTAGCTTATCTAAGTGATACTTCTTTTCAGAGAAGGTGCCTTTTGTGTGTATTAATTTCACATTTATTTATTTTTTTCTGATGACATAAAGCGGTCCAAGTGCCTATCTCTTCTTAAGGCTTCATAAGACTCTTTTTTATAGTTTATATTCACTACTATATGAACAAACAGAATGCAAATGTGCCCCAAGGTGCCCCATAGTGATAAACGCTGTTTTCTTGTTCAGCACTAACGTGAGATCCCTACCGACTTCCTGAGCCGATTATTTGTTACAACTGATTCCAGCATTGGTAATCAACATTAAATGGTAAACGTACGAATGATCCTTCAGTCTGTGTGTGTACCACACTCGTGGGGGTCACTTTCGGGGGGTCGTTCTTGTCCCGCAGGTGCACGTGCAGGTAGTACTCTGTAGATGCGCAGTAGGTGTTGGACACAACAAGTGTGATGTTCGGGTCCCGGTTCGTGGCGTCCTCGAAGTCCAAGGGAGCAGCAACTTGTAGTATCCGTCCCGCTACACAGATAGAACATACATTGACAAGCTTGATCCATGAGTGAGTGAGTCAGTGATCTTGATGTGGGAGGAAAGCCCCAAATGATGCATGTCTCAAACATTTACCACTTTGGTGAAACCCACGAGTAAAGGTACGGTGCAGTCAAACCTAGTAGCAGAAGCCCAGGATTCGAACCCATGGTCATAGGTTTCCTGTATGCCTACGGGAAGCAACTGTGCACAGCGAATGTCGTCGACTGGCCCGGGGCTATTTGAGATGACCACACTATAAAGCTATGTCCTAGCTGATAGGTAAAGTATTCTGGTTGGTGAACGATGGAACCCTTTACAGAGGACCCCTTTAATCCGGAAACCCTGCTATCCGGCACGGAATATATGATTGGGGGCGGGAGATGCCATACCTAATGTCAAAGGATATTAGTCATTTACACAGACGTATTTTGACAAAAAGGATGTTTCCGGAAAAGCAGCGTTCAGACATGATTACTTCCTAACAATCCGTTTGTCCGTTGATCCGTAGCGATTTCACTGGGAACCGGACAGGGATTGCAGTCATTTCTGATATGATTAGGTTGCGTTAAAAGTTCATACCGAGATCGTCAGAAACACAAATGAAATTCCCACTAGGGAATGTGAACGACAGGTACAGGACGTGTGTACACTAATTTGAAATGAAAGGTTTATATTGGATTAATGTAGCAGTATTGAAACATTTATGATGACGTCAAACTATTTATGTTGTATTTGATTCTGAGTCAGGAATGAACAGGTTATACTGGACGTGCATTTTAAACAAGTATGCAAAAGTATAATATTTAATAATATATCAACCATAACATGGTTCAAGTCGAACAAATCACTCGAATCTGTTGCTTCCGGAAGTAGAACCAACAGATTGGAGTACGTTCTCCATTACGTATTGTTTAATTTAATATTGTTAAATATACATATATCAAATTATTTAAAAACATATGGGGTTTAATGTTAGTAATATACATGTCCTAGAACAGTGAGTGGGTATGGATTCACGCCGCTTCCAACCATATCACGGCGGGGGACACCAGAAATGGGCTTCACACATTGTATCAATGTGGGAATTGAACCCGGGTCTTAGGCGTGACGAGCAAACGCTTTAACCTCTGGGCTTCCCAACCGTCCCTGTTGTATTGGAGTCAACTATATATACTGAAACGGTGTGATATTTCTAAATTGATATCGAGAGTCGAGTGAATATACCACAACTGCGTGCTTACTGTAGGATTGACATCGAGACATCAAGCAATACTTCGAGATATCGAGATTCAAGTGAATATACTACATATGCGGGCTTAATTTACATGTATGATTGACTTCGAGGTGGGAAGAATTTCGAATTATCAAGTCGCATGAAAATACTACATATTGATGCTTCTCGTACGACTGACTTCGACGTAAACACTATTTCGAGATATCCATATTGATTATATACTGTACCGGCCACTGTAAACAGGGGGCTGGAGGTTGGAGGTAGGACATTGGAAATGCTCAACACTGGCGCCGGTATTAGGACGGGGAGGGAATAAATCGCTGTTCCAACTGCAACATCCTCGTCGATGTAGACGTCCTGGTTCAGGCCGGTGATAGTTGGTGATGTATGGTGATCTGAAACAGGAATGTTTGTACATTATACTTCGAATGTAACCATGTTTTCGTGTAACGCACTCCCAACGTTACTAACGTTACGTTTGTCTGGAATTACGGATAACTCGAACATTGTCGATATATCTAAGGAAGTAACTAAATATACTATACAAAGTTACACTATAATGATGCGAATGCCGACGTACTTGTAATTGGACATGTAATTTTCACAGGACCAACGGGCGCCGTTGTGCCGTCGGTGACGCTGACGTAAAAGTCAACAGTGTTGTAACAGTAGCTGTCGGCGGGCTTCTTTGCGTAGATTACTCCGGTACCTACAAATAGGACCATTTATACATCATGGTAAGCTCGAACGTTGTCAAACGGCTCTAGTGATGTTTAGAAAAATAACTCAGTCCTTTACTCGACTGTGCTGTCTATAGGAAAACACTGCATGACGATTAACCACACTCTGAGAGAGACTAAATCACGCACTTGTCTGTATGTCAAAGATGTCGTTGACGGGATCTGACACCATGCTGTAGGAAAGGGTGTCACCATCGACGTCGGCGGCGTTGAGGGAATTATACACAACGGCGTTGGCCGGGGTGGTAATGGCGTTTATCGTCAAACAGGCATCTTAAAAAAGTAAGACGGAAAGAAGAAAATGGTTATTCTTTGGTTTAACAATCACATAAAGATGATACAATAAAACAGAATCACAGAATAATTATCCTAATAAGAACGCCGGATTTCGGCTTATCCTTCAGACGTTCCAGAATCCCTTAACGTGGATTGGAAACCCTGATTCGTCCTGCTAATGATTCTTGCTTTATCTGCGTCATGGCTGAGTTCGTGGGCTCTACTGATCCTCAGTGATCCATTGATATAAGTTTCCCCCATATTCACCGCCCAATGGAGTCTGTTTCGTCGGATAATCGAGACTGGTTATTCTCTGACGTTGACGTTTTATGTTTTTATAAAAGTGGCAAACGCCAAGACCTGCATCACTTCGGGATTTCGTCCTACATTAAGCTGACATATGATGTGTCTGTGTGCACAATGATGTCAAACCAAAGTCACTCACTCACTCCTAAACAAGAATGTTGTGTTTGTTTGTTGTTTAACGCCGCACTCAGTATTATTCCAGCTATATGACGGCGATCTGTAAATAATCGAATCTGGGCGAGACAATCCAGTGATTGACAACATGAGCAAGAATGAGTGAGTTGAGTATTAGTATTAGTTTTAGTATTATGTCAGGCAATCGGACACCTGTCGGGAGCTATGATCAGGAGTTTTCGGCGTGATGGCGAACACATTAGAAAATGCGCCACCCAAACTCCCAAAACTAAGGTTGAACAAACCAAACATCCCTTTATAAATTAGTCACACAGATCAGGATTGTTGATATTTCTACAAATGCCATGTTATGGTACGTATAATATTTCCATCGTGTTGCAAACAGTCTGCAACCAGACTTTCTCACTTACCATTGGCGATTTAACGTGCGCTTTCCGACATTATGCGTATTTCGCACAAGCTGACGTTCTTGTAAATGAATGGCCTTTGTATTCGGTAGTAGTCTCATTAAAATCCGACCTGCGTTAAAATCTGACACATCCGCCATGGTCGCCTCGGGTGAATCCTGAACCAACATTGACCGTCCTATTTATATGAAGGGTTACGTGGTCTTTCTAGAATGTTTCGGCTTGCGATTTAGCACAGGAAAACCCACACAGAAGACAAATAATCCGCCAGTGGTACTTTAAGGTTTAGTTGTCAGGATGTATACACTATCCTCATCAATATAAAAGTGTCTTTATTATGTTCCGGAACTGTTCTGAATGTTTCACTTAAAATAAGAACATGCTAGCGCGTTTTCAAACATGAAGATCCGAGTCAGAATTGGTCTTCAGCAACCCATGCTTGCCGTAAAAGGCGACTATGCTTGTTATAAGAGGCGACTAACGTGATCGGATGGTCAGGTTTGCAGACTTGGTTGATGCATGTTATCGTATCCCAATTGCTAGGATCGATGCTCATGATATCAATCACCGGTTTGTTTGTTCCAGACTCGATTCTTTATAGACCACCGTCATATAGCTGGAATATTGCTGAGTGCGGCGTTAAACAATAAACAAACAAATAAACTGTCACATCACGTGTCTGCTCACTTCGTATCTGTACCCCGCCTTTTTCGAATCCTGGGACCCACCCAGGTAGGTATTAAAGTAGTGTAAAGTAAGCGTAAGCATATATAGGACGACGCTGTCAGGAAGACGCACCTGGTACGGGCTGGGTAAACTGCGGGGCTGAGTTGGCTATGATCCTCAGATCCACGTCTCCTTGAGCGGATTCTGTGCCATCAGTGCACACGAGCTTAACGATGTATCGCTGCGCCTGTGCGTAAATCAGTGCTTCCGGCGGAGTACTCAGGAAGTTCCGGTGGTAGATAATGCAATAGTCTGTGGAAGAGAGAACATTAAAGATATTCTTGTAGCTGCGTGTTTGCAGTCAGCAACACCTCAGGTTTTTTTCAACAGAATGTGGCTTCGAATACTAATGAGTGAGTGAGTTGGGTTTAACGCCGCATTTAACATTATTCCAGTTATATCACGGCGTGTCAGCTTAATGTGGGAGGAAAGCGCGAAGTGATGCAGGTCTCAGACGTTTACCACTTCGGTGAAACCCACGAGCACGGGTATGGTGCTGACAAACCTAGAAACATAATCGGGGCGAACAGGGATTCAAACCCACAATCGTGGGTTTCTGGAGTGCCCAAGGGACGCAACTCTGCATACTTATAGTTATCTCAATAAGGTCGTATCTTAATAAATACAATGTACCATAGTGCATGGTGTGTTTCTCAAACACAATAATACTATTATAAGATATATACTCGATGAATTGCAAAGAACAATGAAGAACGAAGCGTGGTTTATTTCACGATAAAACATTGTTCTATCATAACGTCATTTCATAACGAACACGCGCTCGCAACTTGATGACGTCGTATATTGGACGACGTTATTTCTGTGAGGGAAGTGTCTGGTGAGTTGTTAGCCGTAGATGTAGCTGGGCAACGCAGATAAACGCAATGGTCGCAACAGTCACATCCAAAATTGGAAGATATTTGACAATCGGTATTAGGAGAAAAGTTACAGATAATCGACGTGAGGATTGTGAGAATATGCGGGAAATACCAAACTTAACTCACCTGTTCATAAAATAGACTTGTCCGACATTGTCGAGTCATCATTATTAAAATTAAGGTAACTTTTTTCAAATCTTGTACATTTTATCAACATCCTTAAAGAGGCTGTATATTATGTTGATATCTCATGTCGTTTGTTTCTTAAACATATAGCATACCTTTAAAAGATGGGGGGGGGGGGGGGGGGGGGTTATCTCATGGTGTGTCAACTTTTACCATAGGAAAGCAAAATGAGACGTAGGTGATGGACGTTTTCCCCTTAGTGCAACCCACAAGCACTGTTATGGTGCTGACAATCAAATAATCTATCACGCATGCACGCGCGGACACACACCGGCCACAACCACATCATAACGAAAAACGACAAAACATAACACCACAAGACACAGAGACACTACTCACACAGACAGGCACACACAGGGACACATAGACACACGTACATGCATACACACACGCACACACACACAGGGACACACCACACACACATAAAGACAGACACACACGAACACGCCACACATACACATGCCACACACACACACACGCCACACACGCACGCACTCTCCACACACACACACGCACGCACACGCCACACACACACACCACACACACACACTCCACACACACTACACACGCACACGCACACGGGCGCCACACACACACACACACACACACACACACACACACACACTCCAGAGCTTTTGATGGTCACTTGCTTAGCCCATCATTCATTGCTCCACCATATTCTTAAATTTTAATTTAATGTTCATAGTTTTAACTTTTCGATGCTTTGCTCTGTTTAGTTTGGAATCCTGAAAGGAAGATTAAATGTCGCCTTTTCTCCCTTACAAAAACAAGCGCGACCAGGCGACAACGTCCAAGTGGATTCTATAAATAGGTTTGTGCTCTCGCTCAGCTAACACGTGAATTCTATAGGTCGTTTCCAAATGTGACCATTGTATTACAGCAGGTTCCATGACCCTGACATCCATCCACTCACCACTGGTCGGGCTGACCTGTCTGGCGGTGAAACACGAGGTGCACTGGTTGCCGACACCCTGGGCCACGGTGACGCTGAGGATGCTGACGCTGATGGTGGAGCTGTGCAGACATGGGACACACGTCACGATGAAATTGTCCGGCGCGCTCTCGGCTAGGTTCTTGGTGGTGAGAGGAGCGATGCTGGGAGGGACCTGGAACGGAAGTACAGAGACTTTTTTAAAAGCGACAAAAAACATTTGCCAAAATTCAAACAGTTTGTATTTTGCGTTTGAAATCTTAAATCTAGGCTTTGAAATATGTTTCCTATTTGGTCAGAGATGGATTTACCATCTTTACTGCAAGGTGATGACAAAAGTATACACGCTGTATTGGGATATCAGTTTTTAAAGGGCAACATTGGTTATAGGTAACACGTGGTTTTATGTCGCGTATACCAACTCCGAGCCGACCAGTCTTTATCCCTGTCGGGCCCCAGGCAGGGTAACAACAAGTACCATCTTTTAACGGCTTTTAGTATGACGCGGACGAGATAAAACCGCCGAGCCGCCGAGCCGCCGAACCACCGACCTTCTCTGTCACCTACATTGTACCTCACGGAGTTGGTTCATTGGTTATAGGAATTTCAGAAATTGCATTAGCCTTATTTACGACAGTGCAGTGTGTTATTGCTTTGCTCCAAAGTAGTTCAGATAATTTATTCTTAACTTATATTTGTCTATAATTACGTGGTGATAAGAGCCCTTTGGACCGTTGGAAATGGCAAAAAGTAAAGTTGCTGGACAGTCTGAAGTATTGTTTTGAAAGTTACTGGAAAGTTACAGGTGACAGACAACTAGCCTGTGTACCATTTCGATCAGTTCGATCATTTCGAACATTTCAAGCATTTTGAGCAAGTTTTAGACTTTTGACATGATAAAGTAAACCAGTGTACGACTCCTAAGCAAATCAGCTCGGTCCAAAGACTTGCTCATGTCCAAATATTAGGAAACAACGCTTCCTGAAAATATAATAGCCTGATACACACATTTCAGTTTTATGTCTAATTTTGGTGTTGTAAGTCCGAGACAGGCAAATGTTGAAAAGCAAAATATCTAATCCTCATTCATTTAAGGATGAGACTTTTAGCTTGTTTGCTGATAGAAGTAAAAGTATGATGAATGTGCTGGCATTATCATTCCATTGTTTATAGTATGACCAGCATGATCTCAGGATACAGACACAGAATGCATTCCAACCTCTTTATTCTCTCTACACAAAAAAATGGAAAATATCATGTCAGTGTACACGTCAGAAAGGAAAAGGCTAGTTGTCAGCCATTTGTACATATCTGAGAAGTTTCCCGCAGCTATAAAAACTGACATTTCTGATGGCCAAATTCCAATGAGGCCTCTTATTCTCCCTCCTCCCTTGTTATTCCTAACAGGTGCTGCCAACATGTCTGCGAGTTATTGATATGCACAATGACATAAAGGACATCCCCTAAATATGCCAGTGTGTGTGTGTGTGTGTGTGTGTGTGTGTGTGTGTGTGTGTGTGTGTGTGTGTGTGTGTGTGTGTGTGTGTGTGTGTGTGTGTGTGTGTGTGTGTGTGCCAGAGAACCCGACGATCGACAATCCACCACGTCGGCGTACGACGACACGCCATCAACCAAGTCACCCGTTCCACAAAAATCGCCTCTTACGACCAGCTTAAGGGGAGACCAATTCTAACGGGGGTAAATGCGGATGTTATGGGATGTAAGCGAATTCTTTGTTGGTAGGGTTATTTCAGAACCTAGGTACGTCGTTCATGGGGTGGTTAGAGGTGTATGTTTCTCCTTAGTGTCGTGCCAGGATATGCTAATCGTCGGTCCGATTCCTAGTTTGACTGTATAATTATCCGTTGTTCGGAAATACACCATGCTGCGTCTGAAAGTGGTAAGACCGCCTCCGTGGTCTAGTGGTAGAGCGTCCGCCCTGAGAGCGGAAGGTCCGGGGTTCAATCCCCGGCCACGTCATACCAATAGACGTTAAAAGATGGTACTTGTTGTTACCCTGTCTGGCGCTCGGCAGTAAGGGGCTAAAACAAGGACAGGTCGGCTCTTAGTCAGTATACTGTGTCTGAGTGGGGCATGGTATCTGAGCGGGCTAGCATTTCAATCGGCATCAGTCCGGAGTAGTACAGCCACACACACACACGCGCGCGCGCGCGCGCGCGTGCATGAATGTCGCTACATAAGTGCAATAATCATTCACGTAACATTTAACCCCATTTCACCTCACCTGGAAGTGGTCAGAGAATAAAACTGCATCGCTTTGGGTTTTGTATCGAACTGTACAAATGTCATACTGAAACGACATCCCTAAACCTAATTCATTCCCTCCTATAGCTCTAACATATGACTACTGCAAGGTAAAGTCACAAACGTGTAAAAGCAATATACCATATGTCCACAAGATTTCTGCAATTTAATCATCCACATGATTTAAAAAAAGTTGAAGTGAGTTAACATTAATATGACCTTAATATTGGTTAAAATATACCAGCGATAGATCAATCAAAACATTTACAAATTGTAAAAGCCATTTAAAGCTCGAAAATGAAGCTATGTCACAGTCAGCAATGCGTATGCATTAATCATGTGTGTACACTAGAATGTACTATACGTACCTGTAACGAAGGTACAAGCAAACAAAAAAGCGAAACGACAGCCAAACTTTGAAGTTCCATGATAATTCCAGGTCAAGAACACTTTCCCGTTTAAAGCTCACATCATTCGGTGACTACTCTGCTCAGTGTAATGCGCATCGCGGGAGTAGCAAATCTTGAAATGTACACACGTGTATTGATAGTCATGGCACACGGTGTCAATAGCCGTCAATTATGACCGTGACTCTGCCAGCGTCATTCTGCTATCGATGAATTAAGATGACAAGCATATCTATACAACCGTTCTGTTACAGTATTTGCAAAGGAGAAACGACCATTCATTGTTGATGTTTTGTCACTCGGAGTTGACAAACACAACAGAGAAATTGACACCGATTATGTACATTTCAACCATAAATCACATTAAAGTGAATCGTGTTAGTGTAAGTAGAAAGTGGCACAATGTTAAACCTGGCACTGAAATGTACCTTCTTATTGGGTATTGGGTATTTGACGTCATTGTATTGGGGAATACAGGTTAGGGGTGAAGTCGATCAAGGATATCCTTTGATGCGAGTGCGCTAAGGCTTTCTGAATAACGCCGCAATGATGTGGGTATGCAATGGTATGAGAGCAGGGTTAACAGTTTCTGTTTAATAGTGTTTACTGTTTTGAAATGACTTTTAATGTGTGAGAATTTATGCCTTGACTTGAAGAATGGCTATTATGACGTTACTCTGTCATAACCTTACCTTTCTTGTGGCTCAAATGGATAAAAGAAATTAAAAAATTAAATGGAATAATTTTACACATAAAAACTTATGGGATTTTTTAAGATATTGATCAACATATAAGTATAATGCATAGGAGTATCATCGACATATAATCATTCTACGTTATTGTGATTATTAAAAAAATGATTATAAACATTAAAGTGACCGTTTAATAACAACTTTTTACGAACTTGTATATATTCGCATTGAATGCCTTTAACAGCCAGTTGTACTGTAAGAAATCGCAATCACTATTTTTATATTGTCATTAAACAATACTGGATTTCAACTCCATTCCCTGATCACGTGACTAAGTCCACACAAAAGGCCGCACTTGCTATTCTCAAACATATCATGGCGCCATATCTGTAAGTCTAGAAAGTCTACATCCCCGATTACCCGCCAGGTTCTGACAGAATGAAGTCAACGGTGATCAGACTGGTTGTAGTGTCTCTAGCAGTGTCTTCGGGATGGAGGTGATGTCAAACGGGTTTAATGTCGGGTGGAAGATTATCGCAGTTATATAGCGACCTTCATGGACGTGTGTGCCTTGGTGCTTGTGTACTCGTTCAGACTTATGCCGCCCATGCAGTTTAACATGGATGCCCCACTCAGATATATACACTTTACATCTGGACGTTTCTCCGAGCAGAGCAGTCCTTGTTGTATCCCCTTGATGCAGGGTGCCAGGCAGGGTAACAAAAAAGTATGACGCGGTCGGGGATCGAACCACCGACTTTCCGCCCTCCGGGCAGACGCTCCATTAAACCACACAGGCGGTCTCTAAAGAAAGGAGGCCATTTTGTCGGGATAGCGTGTCCTGTTTCAACAGTATTTAGAATAGCGACTCGTGGACTGGAATATGGACTAGAAGACGTATATGTCAGCTGATGTTACTGCCTCGCAACGATATCTTCGGTTGTCACTTCCTCCATCTGCACGTGGGGGCACGGGTGGCCCAGTCATCTAAGACGTCAAGTTCGCTGTGAAGAGTTGCGTCCCTTGGTCGAATCCCGGTTCGCCCCGGTTATGTTTCTAGGTTTGTCAGCACCATACCCGTGCTCGTGGGTTTCACCGAAGTGGTTAACGTCTGAGACCTGCATCACTTCGGGGTTTCCTCCCACATTAATCTGACACGCCGTGGTATAACGGGAATACTGTTAAAAGCGGCGCTAAACCCAACTCACTCACTCGCTCATTTGTCTTTATGGGTAGATTTCGTTGCTCTTATAGTTGGCCTTTATGTAGAGGGGAATGTCCGAGTAACTCTCCATTCCTTAAAAATAATGGAGCAGAGGCCCCGCAGGGGCCGAGGCCCATTATTTTTAAGGAATGGAGAGTTACTCGGATATTCCCCTTCTTAAAACTCATCCCTACTTTTACACTTTGACAAAATATTCTGTAGTTGAAAACATTTGAAAAATTCAAATGCTGCTACAAGATAATGTACAGTTGACAAGCAACTCTCCATTCCTGAAAAATTATGGAGCGTTCAAACAATAGAATGACGTCACAGATGTGTTTTATCAACAGACAGAGTTATCTTACTTCAAGTGTCACTCCACGCGTTGCCAGTAGCCAGCCTCGACGGCCTGATTGATATATATCATAAAATATGAGCTAACAGACATAAGTAGGTTTTGAATATTTGAATCAGATTTGCTAAGTTTGGCACGTGTCCTTAGCTTAGTCATTCTATAAGTCAGCGGGGGTTCATGGAAATCCGACTAGTTGTGTGCCCTTGTTGCGGTGCCGGTTGTACAGAGAGAAGTACCTGAATGCATAGTTTCAACCCCAGTCCCGGCGACCCCGTCACCGCTATCAAATCGACGACTGGAGCTTGGCAGTTATTTCGTATTAAGCGATTAAGACATGTATTGCCTCGGTGAATATGGACAATACAGAACGTTTGGTTGCTGACAATCGGGGATCTGGTGGGCTGTATCTGTCAAATCCATGATCATAAAGAACAAGGTCACAACAGATAAAACATTTATTTTACAGACGTCTATTGCAAATGTTCTTATACGTAGGAATTCATAAATTCATAAAGACTATTTAACAGCCTTCCCTTAAAAACTTGATCAGAAAGAGTTGCCCCACACTGAAGCATACATCGCCTTGAAGCCCGGGACTTTGTTCGAAATATGATCCTGTTCATACAGGAGTAAATACAGGATGAGATTATAATGTGGCCGTTAACCTTCATGCTCCTGGTGGGCAGCTTGGGATAAATACGTGTACTCCCCAAGGAGCTGAGAATGAAATCCGTGACTCATAAGCAGGGTTGTGTCGTTCCAGGATCTGTTGATCATGGGATCGAATCTGGTTCGACTTGATTAAGATCCTTGGTTTGTGTGCATCGTCTACGCCTTTTCTCTGCATCAATTTTGACAAATCGTGATATAACTGGCATGCATTTCAGGGCGGCGTTATAAACGTATGGTGAGTGAGTGAGTATGGTTTTACGCCGCTTTTAGCAATATTCCAGCAATATCACGGCGGGGGACGCCAGAAATGGGCTTCACACATTGTACTCACGTCGGGAAGCGAACCTGGGTCTTCAGCGTGACGAGTGAACGCTTTAACCACTAGGCTACCCGACCGCCCCAATAAACGTATGGAGAGAAAACACGACAGCGCATGGGGGACTCAGGTGCGTTTTACAGCGTCTTACCAAATGATGCAACATCACAACGGAGAAAACCTACCATGAGCTTCGCTTCACAATTTTGGTAATGTCAACTTTGACCTGGCTATAAGCCTGCCGATAGACTCCTAGCAATGGTCAACAAACGTGACTAGGTGACAACACTTCAATCTGATAAAGATATTGTTTGATACTTTAGAAACTTTATATTAATGTCTACACTATGAAAAAAGATTTGTACTTTTTCCGCCCGGGGATTCTAACGGGTCGGTCTTTGACATCGTCTGTATATTTTATGACACCACGTAAATAAATACGATACATGGAGTCTACACGGTTTTACATTGCACGCGCGTCACTCAAGGATGTCCGCTTGTCTGGTTATTAGTTTGTTTGTTGTTTAACCACACTCAGAAATATGTCATCTTTGAGACGGAGGTCTGTCGTGAGTGAGTATGTTTTTACTCCACTTTTAGCAATATTCCATTAATATCACGGCGGGGGAGACCAGAAATGGGGTTCACACATTGTACCCATGTCGGGAAGCGAACCTGGGTCTTCAGCGTGACGAGTGAACGCTTTAACCTCTAGGCTACCCGACCGCCCCTATAAACGTATGGAGAGAAAACACGACAGCGCATTGACAGCGCATGGACTCAATTGCGTGTTACAGCGTCTTAACCGTCTTTACCCGGGTCCTCAGAGTGACGAGCGAACGCTTTAACCACTAGGCTACCCGGCCGCCCCTCGGAGATCTGTAAATAATCGAGTCCGGGGCAGTGTGAGGTTTCTTGGTTTTGTACTCTCATTCTCTGTGTCTCATGCGACCTGTGAGTGAGTGTGTGAGTGAGTGTGGTTTTACCTTTAAAAGCAATATTCCAGCAATATCACGGCGGGGGACACCAGAAATGGGCTTTACACATTGTACCCACGTCGGGAATCGTACGCAACCCGTCTTTAAATGGGCTGAGTGAGTGAGTATGGTTTTACCTTTAGCAATATTCAGCAATATCATGGCGGGGGACACCGGAAAAGGGCTTTACACATTGTATCATAAAATGGGACCTAATTCACAAGTTTCTATGGTATATTACGCCGTATATTTGACGATTTGACTTTTAGCCTGTGCTTCTCCGCTCCATACTGACGACAGATATATAATATGTCGTGAAATGATTCCCAACCATTGCCCTGTGCACACAAAACATAGTGTCCCAGGGTGGAATGTTTACTCACAAAGGTTCGAATTTCATTTACACTGAACACATGTGATACATACTTGCTGCACTGAACAGTAAACACTGTTTCAACAAAGCTACTTTATGGGGGGCATTTTATTGAGGACGAATATCATTTTATGCTTATATGCAATGCTTATAGTGATTTAAGAGCTGAATACATTCCTCCTAAATATTTTACAACCCCTTCTAAAAATAAATTTAATGCTCTTATGTCATCCACTAACTTTAAAATCATACGAAATCTAGCAGTCTACGTTTACAAAGCTTTTCGACTTCGTTCATTGTATCCAGTCCAAATATTTATTTGTATATATGCATGTGTATGTGTATGAATGTATATGGATATGGATATATATGTAAAATAGTGACAATTCTTTTTTCTCCCTCTCTCTGTAAATAGTTCTGTGTAATAGGCCTACGGCCTAACACTTTTTGTGAATAAAACAATAACACAATATATAATATACGGGGGGCATGTACTGTACCCCCACAGTAGAACAACCCTCCTAAATATGGTT